CAGAATTTAGTCTATCTATAAAATCGTATAGTTTATTCTCCCATTGAAATGTAATTTGATAAATATCTTTCTTAGGAGTACAGTAAAAACTGTAAGCTTTGAACTTCAAGGGTTACTCGTTTTCGACAAATCTATTCATCAATATTTGATTATCATTCTCTGTGGCATTAGCTGTAGAAATATGATGAATCTCACAAGGGACATGAGTTCCTTCAAAGTGGCAGATATGCCTTGTTGACGAGTGCCAAATAGCATGAAACCTAGGTGTGTTCAAGGCTTCCTGTGGTCGATTGCCTCCAACTATCTCGTATGACAAGTCTTTTTCAGGAAGTATATAAGCAAGCTCCTCCTACATTACGATGCGAAATAAAACTGTAACAGTCTTTGTACTGCATTGTTCAAGTTAGAATTATTTAATCAGCAGATTGATAACTTGCATCCCGACTCTCGAGCTTTGAATAGGATAAAATGCTTGTCCAGGATCCCATTACTTTCCACAGAGAAACAGGTAACTTCAAGCTGTTAATCGTCGTAATACCAAGGCATCTGTTCAATGAAGCTTATGTGACTAAAATGAGGCCGATCAATTCACTACAAATAATTCAAGTGATTATTTCCTCTGATTGGTCTAGTCGTGCGTCTAATCCTTAGTGTTGACTTGGTATAGACTGAATTCTATCGGTCAGGTATGTAATTTGGTCACAAGGCTAGGTAGCTCTTCATTACTGTACACTTAGAATTGTCGTCGGATGGTTGGAGGTGATCGGTATTGTCCAATCAAATTGAAATTAAGAATCTGAATAACTGAAAGAAAAAAAATCGAACTGGATCAGATAGATATACGCTTACATTTGAATCGAAAAATGAACAAAGATGATTATCTATGTTGTACTGTCAGATAAAACGAACAGGAGAAGATAAACTGCACAGTAGAGTTTATAAAAAGTCAACGCACTCTAACAACAGATATTTAGACGTTGATTCATCTCACACGTTATCTGTAAAAGCAGACTTAGTTAAGTGTCTGACAAACAAAGCGATTACACTAAGCACTAGATTAAGAAACTGAAATGGTGAAATAGGAAACACACAGACGACGCGTTGGTGTTCAATAACTACGCCCATAAAATTCATTAAGAAGATCACACAATCACTCAAAGAACGGAGAAATAATAGTGGAATTATCGAGCATAAGATAAGAAAGAATTTGAAGTAGCCTGAGTTTTTCCAATATAAGTAAGCGACGTCTGAAACCCTGGATAGTATTTTTAACAAAGTAGAAATTAGGGTAGCATTTAAACCTACGAACGCACTCAAGTAGGACAAGGTCTGTAGGCTAAATGACCCTACTGACCCAATTACACAAAATAATGCAATTTACAAAATACAAAAGTGTGAAATGTTTGACCCCACGAAGATGAGCCATTCAGAGGAAAATTCAGCAATCGCAATGCATGCATTAACGCACAATCGCACAATAGGGTGAGTGAGAGTTATAGTTCTGAAAAGTAGTATAGGTAGACAGAGGCAGAGATTGATTAATTAATCGTTTTTCATCAAACCTATACCCGACAAAAATGCAATGGGTTGCAATGACTTATCACTAATTCCAGAGATATTGAAAATATTATTATTATTGTTTCCTTTAGTTCCTGGAGGAACATAAAGCTTCAACCGTACGCCCCCATTGCGCTTGGTTCTCTGCCAGTGTTTTCATCTGACTCCACGTCTACCAAAATGCTTTCATCTCCTCTTGGTATTATCTCCTCCACGTTACCCTTGAATGAAAAACTCACAGCTTCCCATTCAGGTTCCATTCGAGCAATACCCTGCGGTGTGATATCACTTGGTGGTTTCCTCACACCATGGCAAATCCAATCCACCTCCATTTCTTCCTCTATATTTGTTGCACATTTGGTTCCTACTGGGCTGGTTCGCTCATTGTCAGAGATCCCTAACTATTGCCGGTCTTTTCTGGCCAGCCATTTGATCTTGAGTATTAAGTGAAAAGAGCTGTTTATGAATTTTAGTAGTTTATGACGCGATGCAAAGTCTCTGACCCATATAGTAGCAGTGAATTAACAATGGAATTGAAAATCCGGATCTGGTTTTTAATACTGAGTGCTGTTAACCTCCACACAGACATGAGAGAAATAAAAACTTGCCTTGCTTTCCCAATGATCCTCGCTTTGATATCCTCGTCAGTTCCGCCTGTAGTTGAAACGATGTTTCCTAGGCGGGTAGGTAAAGGAAGTTGCTTCTTTTAGATTCCGACCATTTGTGCTGGCTGATTGTTGTCTGTTGTTGTTGCTGTGGCTGTTGGCCAGGAATCTTCATCACCACATCTGTTTTCTCTATGTTTACCTGAAGTCCTTCCTCTCTTTGATGCTTCTTCTGACAACTTGTTGCTTTTCACTTGCGTTTCTACCAGTTTGTGGGAAATCAGACATATATCATCATAGGTGAATTCTAGATTCTCCAAGTCTTTTGTATTGATCCATTTTATGCCTGTTTCCTCGCTACCCGCCACTGTCTGTCGCATTATCCAGTCTACGGAAATCAGGAAAATCATTGGCAATAATAGGCAGCCAGCCAGCTTGTCTTACTGCCGTCTTCACTTCGTAGGATTCCGTGAGTTTTCCGTGGTGGATTACCTGGCATACAGCATTGTCGTACAACTGTTTAATGAGGTGTACAATTGTTGGTGGCAACCAGTAGTAGCGAAGTAGTTTCCAAATCACCTTTTGGTCGACATCGGTTAGAGAACCACTGGAAAGCACCGGGGTACTGTAGAGCTGTTTGCTCCGCCCTAGTCCGGGACTCTTCATCAGTACGCATCCACCACCAGGTTAGAACTCACAGGCTGGCCATTGGTTCGAGTCCCAGTGGCTGAGTGGTCTACGAGCTCGCCTTTTAACCAGAAGGTCCTAGGTTCGAACTCCTGGAGGTTAGTGCGCATTTCTGAAGAGTTCCAAACTGGGACGGAGTAAACAGCTGTTCAGTACCCCTGTGTTTTCCAATGGTTCTCTAGCTGATGTCAGCTCATGAAGGAATCCTCTAAACATATTATGAATTGATTGTCAAGATTTAAATCTTTTATCTTTTCAACATATCCAAAGGTGTCTTTTACAGTGTTTCATGAATTCAATATTTAGAGGCTGTAAGAATTCGAATAACCATTTGGCTATGGGATGGAATAGTGAGTTTAACATATCTAGTACTGGTCGAAGGGGTAAACTATTTTGGTGCACTTTTGGTCAATCCTGAAATCCTGATGTGAACGTCCCAGTGGGTTTCAGTGGTGTATACTGACTTTGTGAGATAAATCCTTGTTGTTTCAGCGTTCTTAATTTCTCAGCTAACTTTTAAGTAACTTGAAAATCCCCATTCAGTCATATAAAAGAAAAGAAGGCGTTCAGCGAAGAGACTCTTTTCGGCGAATTCATTCACTGAGCTGTACAATCGCATATATATATATACAATTTTGTTTGTGTGTGTGTGTGTACACTAGATTCATAAAGTTTAGATAATTATGTAATGTAATTAACACTGTTGCCAACCTGACCTACTCTGAATTCTACTCAACTGTATTACGTCATCCAATTCACTTAATCAATTCTATTTTATTTTCTATCTTAACGTTTGTCTCGAAGCCAAATAATACTTACACTACATAATTATCTAAACTTTATAAATCTAATGTACACACAAACAAACAAAATGGTATATATATATATATATATATGCAATTGTGCAGCTCAGTGAATGAATTCGCCGAAAAGAGTCTCTTCGCTGAACGCCTTCTTTTCTCAGCTAACTGTTTCTCTATCTTTTCAATCCGTTCCAAAGAGGATGAGATTTTTCAGAATTTTAGATCGTCATCGTCTACCATCACCAATGATTTTCCTGATTTCCGTAGACTGGATAATGCGACAGACAGTGGCATGCAGCGAGGAAACAGGCATAAAATGGATCAATACAAAAGACTTGGGAAATCTGGACTTTACCCATGATGATATATGTCTGATTTCCCACAAACTGGTAGAAATGCAAGTGAAAAGCAACAAGTTGTCAGAAGAAGCATCAAAGAGAGGAAGGACTTCAGGTAAACATAGAGAAAACAGATGTGGTGATGAAGATTCCTGGCCAACAGCCACAGCAACAACAACAGACAACAATCATCCAGCATGAATGGTTGGAATCTGAAAGAAGCAACTTCCTTTACCTACCCGCCTAGGAAACATCGTTTCAACTACAGGCGGACAGAACTGATAAGGAAATCAAGGCAAGTTTTCATTTCTCTCTAATCTGTGTCGAGATGAACAGCACTCGGCATGAAAAATGTGATCCGGATTTTCAACTCCAATGTGAAGTCAGTCAGTGCTACAATACGGATCAGAGACTTCGCGCGTCATAAAGAGTACCTCAAACAAACTACAGACCTTCATTAACAGCTGTCTTCTCTCAACACTACTCAAGATCAGATGGCCGGCCAGAAAAGATAAGCAACAGGGAGAGATCTCTGGGAGCGAACCATCCAACCAGGAACCGATTGTGAAACAAATAGGCAGGAAGAAATGGAGATCAATTGGCTGGCCATACTCTGAGGAAACCATCAAGTGACATCACTAGACAAGTCATTGCTCGAGTGGAAACCAAATGGGAGGCGGTGAGTTAGTTGTTAGTGCGAGGGTGACTTGGAGGAGGTCATGTGAAGAGGAGATGAAAGCATGTGGGCAGACTTGGAGCGGGGTGAAAAAGTTGGCAGAAAACCGAAGGCAATGTAGATGCGCGGCTGAAGCCCTATGTTCCACTATGAACTAAAGGATTAATAATAATAATAATAATTTTAAAAAGAATGGTATTCACCTTCTCGAAGTAATCCGTTTTCTTTATGATAACTACTTCTGAAACCTTATTCCCTCTTGTTATTCCTATATTATCATTTTTATTATTGTTAACAATTATAATAATAATAATTTCATTGTAGATAGATATAAATGGAGAAGAAATTATTAAAATTATATTATACTATTGATGATAGAAAAGATAAATACATTGAAAGATTAAAACAATTCATTGCAATTAAAAGTATTTCTGAAGAGAAAACTCATCGTTTAGATGTTGTCAAAGCATTAAGATGGATTGCATTTAAATTATTAAAGTAAGACTTATTTATATTTCACATTGCATTGTCAATTACTTGAAATAAAACGGTAAGGTTAAACTTTTATGCAGCAGTAACTACCACCAATCAGCGAATGACCTTGAAAGTACCAATCACATGAAACGGACTGTTTTCAGGGTATGAAATACATATTCATTATGTGATAAAGGTTTTTGTATTTCCCAATGAATGAAAAACAAAACGATTTTGTTTTTACTGACGTTTCACTATTTAATGTTGCTACTAATAGATTAATCAAAATATTAATAAACCAGAATTTACAAAATCCACTCGGCATATATAGAACAAAGAGTCAAGGGATGAGAAAATAGACAAGTTAGGTCAGGGTAAAAGGACATACTGAAAGTCCAAATAACAATGAAGATCACTAAACTAAATATCAAAGGTAATAGTACATCTGTTATTATATCAAAACAAAGTTTACTAACTTGATCATCGTTCGTCTATTTCGGGTCGTTTTTCGGCATTAAGTTAGTCAATTGGTAAAGATAACAAAATCAAGTGTAGATTGTTGGATTTGATCAGCGTGTAAAATTATAAAAGCAGTGTGTGTTTACATGATGAACTTGCTTATCACATTCGTGTTGATTTTGTCACTTCATGGGGGAGGGTGGTGTTGTAACCAGGTCAGATTCTGTTTTAGTCCATCATTCAGAATATTCAAACAATTTGGATTCCACTTGATATGAAATGCTTCTGATTGGTATAAGATGTTCTTTGTGATTTCTGAAGTTTTTCTGGATTATTTCAATATTCTCAAAATCAATTTTGTGGCCTGATTCTATAGTGTGTAGACGAGCTATGGCTGATGATTTTTCAAGTTTTTCTAGTTCAACTGGATTTCTCGGTGGTCGAAGAGATGCTCTACGGTGTTCATTTCTTCTGATTAACTTGATTTATCGAGATGTTTGTCCGATGTAGATTGCATCACATTCCAAGCAAGCATTTTATTTTATAGACACAATTAGATAGAGAATCTTTCGGGATTTGCTCTTTTATATGGACAAAGTTGCTTTGAAGTGTGTCTGATGTTTTGAAGAAAACTGGAATGTCGAGCTGATTGAGTACTCTTCTGATATCATCTGACATCTCTTCTCTATATGGAATGACGATTGTTGATGTCCATGTTTTCGCAATGCGTTTTCGACCATACTTAATGTCAGTGTTGATTTTGTTGATGAAGTTCTTTGGGTATTTATTTTGCTTGACAGTCTCAGCAATGTTTGATATTTGTTCTTCCTCTTCTTTTTCATCCGTTAATATCAAAAAGTATGTTCGTCGAAGAAGACTTTAAACTACTAATACCTTTGCGCTGATTAGGTGTGATAGTCCGGAGTTTAGAAACTTGTTGGAGTGGGTTTTCTTCCTGAATATGAATATACTAAAATGTCCGTTTTCTCTCCTATTAACTAGGCATTCCAGAAATGTTAGTTCACCGACGTCTGATTCTGCTTCCGAAGTAAACTAGATTCTGGAAAATAGATTGCTTATTTTCTCCAAGAATGAACTGTGTAGATCTCGTTTTATCACTGCAAAAGTATCATCTACATGTCTTGTCCATATTTTAGAAGTGAGTATACTTGCAAAGATGTTATCTTCGAATGTATTCATCAAAAGGTCAGAGACTATTGGGGAGACTGGTGAACCCATAGCAACACCATTTGTCTGTCTATATAAACTCCCTTTAAATGTAAAATAATTACTTTCTAGACAGAATTTCAAGCTCTTAATTATTTCACTGGTGTCTAGTGGACAACTTTGTGATAGGGGTGTATTCGATTCTAGTAGACTGCAAATGATATCAAGACTTTCGGTAATAAGTATACTAGTATATAATGAGTTAATATCATAGCTTACCACAATGTCTCTGTGTTCTATTTGAGATTTGAAATCATTTGAATTTCTTACAATATTTTGAGTGTCCATTTGTAGTGGTTGTAGTAGCGAGAGTAAGTATTTAGATATGTTGTATGTCGGTGAGTTGGTGAAATACATATATTATTTATGAAAAAGAATGCATAGAAGTTGTATAAAAGTGTTACAGAGGATACTTTTCTCTCACATGTGATAAAAAACACCTTCAATTTAAAATACTAGTACCAATAGAAAAGTTTAACCACATCTTATACATATATTCATCTGAATGACTAAAAATGACATTGCTTTGCAACCCATTAATAGCTGTAATCCTGTTTTTTACCCTTCTTCAAAAGCCTAGGATTGAAGTGGTGTAGGTCACTAAAGTGGGATCCACAAAATCATTAGAATGGTTGACTCTGTGGTGAATATATCCAAGGGATGAAAAGGAGTTATATCCTTTCCATTCATCTGTGTATTATGGTTCCTTGTTTCACCAGTTCAGTAATATTGGGTATTAAAGTACTTGGCTTTCTGACTGCTATTCTCTCGACGAATTCCTTCCGTAGAAATGTTTCAAATAAAATAATCACCCAAACGTCATTCGCTCGCTCTTAACCACGGTTGTTTTTGCTTTTTAATAAAACAGTTTCATCTGGTAGAGAAGATTTGTAGCTTAGGGGGATGATTTTGATGTGGTTGTGTTCTCTGAGCTGGATGGTTAATTTGCTAAGCCTCACAAATTAACACAACCACATCAAAAACAGTTTCATCTACATGCACGGTGGCACCTCTCCCCAATAAGTGGTAAGTCTTTCCATTTTCTAGGATGCGATATACCTGCAGTGGTGATACCTGTAGACTGTTGGAATGAGAGTATTTTGCGTTGTGAAAGCCGCACCTTTCACAGGCTGATTTAAAACTCGATAATTAAAAATATACAAAATCTAAGTTAAGGATAGACGGGACCCTGCAAAAAATCTTCCTAAGAAATAGTATAATCATCAGCTTACCTCTCTTTAAGCTAACTCATCACAAACAAAGTCCACAACGGCACACATGTCCATCAACCGATGTGCTGAAGCGTTTTATACTCATGGCATCTCCATATGAACAAATCCTCTCTTTTCTAATCAATCCTACATCTAAGCAATGCTGAAAAACTTTGTCTGTGATGAGTGCTGTCTGCTAGCCAAAATTGGTAGACAGCAATTTACGTCAATGTTTACTTCTCGAATCTCGCTCATGAGAAAAACAAGAACAAAGAAAGTGCGTGGGCAGATGCAACTCGCAGATATACGGTCTGACCTTCAAAGAAACGGTCACAAAGAGATGACAGAATAATTCCCAGTTAAAAAACGACCAATCAGAAGACGCTGTTTCTCTGCTAATAATAATGAATTATAATGTACATAAAAATATATAAATATCTGTTGATTTTTTCCATAGAGGATCTGTTGCCTGGTCGTTGTCTTCTGTGGTTACAGATCTTCACCAAACTTCAAAAGTAACTGCGTTAAAGAAGGCATTTCACTTGAATCAAGCTGAACAGAAGCTTCATCTCACGTGATCAACACTCACTGCACCATTTAAGGTTTTTGCAGTGGACTCACTCCATTGGTATTTAGTGGTACTTAGAATTTAACTTAGTCCTATAAAAAAATATTACAATATTATATTATTATTGTCCCCTAGGGTTCCGAGTGGAAAATAGTCTTTAACAACACTTCGTTCTGTTCCCTAACGTCGTGTTCAGCTGGTTACACGATTGCCCACACCAACGACCCACTCTTCGCTTCCCACTAGGATTCCACCCAAGAAATCGCCTGTATTATGCGCAATGTTAATCGACGGCCTCCTCAGTGGCATATGACCAATCCATTTCCATTTTCTCCAGAATATTTGCTGAGCTATCGACTCTTGCTCGGAAGGTCTGTTCCCAGACAGAGTTTCTCGCTGCTTAATCTCTGTGGCCGACTATTCGATCTTCACTGTGGAGTCAATGAAGGCAACTGTTGATAAACGTCTGCAACAGACTGTTGTAAATCCTTTTCGTAACAGGCAGTTAAAGTTTCTGATTCACATAGGAAAACTGACTGACTTCAAATTTGTGTTGAAAATCCGAATCTCACTCCTTGTGCTGAGGCGGAGTACAGGAGATTTCCACACTGATTTCAGATTGATGAAGGTGTACCTCACCTTTCAGATTCTGGCTGGCTGACTGAGATCTTCTTCTGTTCCTCTGACATGTATTTGAAACGATGCTTCCTAGATAGGGGAAGGAGATAGTCTCTGTTAAATCTCTCCCGCTGATGGTGATTGGTGTTGGTTGCTGTTGCGGTTCATTGGTTGTTTTTATCACCTCCATCTTCTCTATGTTCACCCGCAGTCCTCTCATCGCTGCCTGCTATCGTCTTCAGCCAGTTTGGTGGTTTTCGCCTGAAAGTCTTTGACTTTGTGTAACATTAAACATGTGCGAAATCCGAATCTTCTAGGGTCTTATTATCGCTCCAATGTATTCTTATCTTCTCACTTTCAACGCAAAGTCCTCCGCATAATCCAGTCCACTACAGTAAGGAATATCATCGGTGATAATAGGCAGTCTTGTTTTATTCTCCTGTCTTCACTTCAAAGGGTTTCCTGCTGATTTTTCCGTTGTGGATCAGCCGGCACATGACACTGTCATATAGATGCTGAATGAGGTTGATAAATACTTGGGCACTGCACGTCGTATATATATATATATATATATATATATATATATATATAAATCCATATACTGAAGGCTACAGACGGATGCTACTCATAACCTTCGTTGCAAGTTTCACCCAGATTTAGTTTTTGACTTCTGTGTGGAAAATAGGTTGATAGGGGGGACTAAACCGTGTATATATGTGGGGGTGATAATGACTCTTTAGAAGTATTACACAACTGTCGATGCTTATGCATTCAGATGCAGTCCCTGTAAGAACAAGAAGTCTGTAAGAGTCAGTAAGTTGTACACTATGTTAATTTTTAAGATTATTTCTTCTCAAAATCGAAACTCTACCTGTATATGCCACAACTGGTTACTGAGACGACCAGTATCTGCTACAGCTGCGGAAACACAGAATACTAAAATGTCAACAGCGCAGTAGTATCAGAGCTCTGTAGGGATAATGCCTCACAAAAGATCAATGCAATTACTTCTGTACTTGGAGGAATCAGTGTTGTCGTCCATATTGATGAACCAGTACTTATTAAACGAAAAATGAATCGCTGCAGTAGGAGAATAGCATACAATGTTTGGGTGCTGGGACACTACCTACGATGCAAGTCTTCGTAAAAGGGTTAGTAGAACGCATCCTGAACATAAGTGTTAATGTTTAAATACCAATAATGCAATGACTAGTCCTCCCAAGCACTTCCATTCACATAGACGAGTGGAGAGGTTATTCTCAACAATTATCAATCGGCTATATTCATCATCAAGTCAACCATTCTCCTGAATTGGTGGATCCTACCGGTGGAACTCATACAGATTCTATTGGAGGATTATGGATGCATTTACAAAAAGGTATTAGAATGGTAAATCAGTCCCGATACGCTATAATATATAGCCATCTAGATGAATTTTTTTATCGACATTGGTTTGATATTCCTATGGACACTTCCTACGAGAAACTGGGACCAATTTTTTCAACATACTGGAGATATATATCCTGTATAAATCATTTTTGTTGCATATATATCTGATAAATACGCCATTTCTGATGTAATGATTGCTAATTTTCACCTAGATGAATCTGACTTGGGTCATATTAAACTTTAAGCACTACCAACTACCAATGGAGTGCGACCGCACCAATGACCTTGAAACGCTCACTGAGCAAGTCAGTGAAACCTGGCATATTATTTTGTCATCATCAATCAGAATATGCTCATCAAAGTGTTATGCTATTAAATGGGATATCTGGCAAGTTTCAGCTTAGGTTTGAGAAAGATTAAGTTACCTTTTAATAATAATAATAACAGCTTTATTCCAAACAGTATTTGTGGTACAGGTATGGAATTTTCAGCGTGCATTACAATATATTGCATCTAAATACCTCAAAAATTTTATAAGATTTTAAAATCAAAAAGCAACACCCAAAAAAAGAGGAAAAAGAAACAGCGTTGCGTTTACATTTTAAACAATGCACCAAAGGAAATGAAATATAAAATTAGTGTGTAATAGAAGATGTGAACAACAGTGTAATAGTAACGAGGAAAGGAAAACAAAATCTAATGGGACTATTGGTTAGAGTGCCGCAGTAAGTTGATCGTGTTATACCTAACGGATTTCTCATCACATAACAGCTGTGCCAGATATGGTATTGTGGAGATTTTGTACTTGGTAGTCCTAGCATATAGCCTCCTATAGCTGCTTCAAGTTCTACTAGATGAAATGCAAGGAAAGAGCTGCGTATACAGAGGATGCTCGGGGTCTGACATTATTGTATTCGCTAGTTTCTCACATGACATTATGTTTCTATCCACAAGAGTGTTTACCAGTAGGTTTAACGATATTCCACTTGCCCTACTAACGGCTTTTAGTGCCCTTCTCAGCGAAGCAAAGTCTTTCTTAAGTAGTCCAGGAAAGATTAATGGGGAGCAGTAAAGAGGGATGGGTAGAATACAGAAATTGATAAACTGAGAAAGCAAAGACTGCCTTATACCAAACTGCCTAAACTTCCTAAAGCAGAACGTTAAGCGAAACATCTTTCTAGTAACTAGCAAGATGTGGGAGGACCAGGAAAGATCGCTGGAAAAACTTGGCCTAAGGTACTTGACACTAGATGTATTTTCAACCTCTATGCCGTCAATGATAGTAGGGTCACGTGAGCTAACTAGTTGTTCTAGGTCACGTTTACGTCTGAAAGTGAAATTGACTACCTGACATTTAGACGGATTAAACTTAAGACCGCTTGAAGAGGACCACTGACCAATTTCCGACAGGAAGTTATTTAATTTGGAACACTTTGACTGAGAGTTGACAGGCATAGAAACAGAGAGGTCATCAGCATACTTAACAAAAGTGGCTACATCAGAATGGGGCAAGTCATGTAAGAAAAAAGAAAACAGAAAAGAAGAAAGAACAGCACCTTGAGGAACACCAGCTAAAGTAAGTGAGGTAGTGGAGGACTTTCCATTGTAGACGGTGTACTGCCTCCTATCAGAAAAATAGGAATGTGGCCACTTATTTTTCCAGCTCTCAGCCTGTGTTGCAGCAAGCTTACTTACCAAGAGAGACCTAGGAACAGAGTCGAATGCAGATGTGTTATCAAGGAAGGTACAGAGAACGTATTTAGCTCCTTTATCTAAACTAGAGACTATGCTATGGTGTAGGACAACAGCGTCATCTAAGGTACACCTACTATGTTTATAGGCAAACTGGTTGAGGTCATTGAAAGGCTTTAAAGAGGGTTCAAGATTAAGTGAAATAAGTCTTTCCATAACTTTCAAAAGAGGTGAGGTAATAGCAATGGGTCTAAACTTAACATTAGGTCCACTTGTTGATTTAGGCACTGGAACAATCTTGATATTTTTCCCTGAGTCAGGTATACTACTTTTGAAACAATTCGTTGAAAATGTCAGTTAATGGGGAACACAAGATGTCAGCACACTTCTTAGGGATAACAGCAGGAATACCATCAGGACCAAAGGACTGAGTAGGTTTGAGAGACTGAAGACACTTGAGGACATCATTCGTGTTAAAGCATGAGAAGCAGTCATTATTTACACTATTTGAGTAAGGAGTCATAACATCTGCAAGGATACATATGAAGAATTTATAAAGCATGTCAACATCTACTGAAATACCATTCATTATTTAAGCCAAGGACAAGTTAGGGTTAGGTTAACCTAATAAAAGTGACGGTGGGTTTGATTTGAGTTAGATGACAGCTAGTTTAGGGATATTTTTATGTTAGGGTTAGGTTCAGAATGTGGTTAATTTTCACTGTCAATATAAGAATAGAACTTGGGCACTAAGGTAGAGTATAACTTAATTTAATTAAAATTTATTTTGATAAAGTCTCACAGTATAACACAGTAATATTCACTGATGACAACGTTTCGAGCACAATTTATTGCTCAGGAAATATTACTGTACAACACTCTGAGACTTTATCAAAATACATTTTACCCACAATGGGCTTATACTCTGTTGATACTCCAGCCTCCAATAAAAGAGAGCCGTTTTTATCACATGTGAGAGAAAGGAATCCTCTGTAACACTTTCATACTGCCTTTATGCATTTTTCATATATATATATATATTCCATACACAAAAATGCCTCCTTCCCGTGATTGGTGCGTTCGAGGTCATTCGCTGATTGATGGCAGTTAGTGGTGCTAAAAGTTTAACTTTGCTCTAACTGATTGGTTCAAGATCATTTGACCATTGTGTTTATTCTTTACTGTTACCTAGACATCTTTCGAAACGAAAACAATGAGATCATCATCATGAAAATATTTGTAGTTTGTATTTTTCTTTAAAATAGTTAAAAATGGTGCTCAAACATAATAACAGTTTTATTCTGAAAAATATGTTTATACATAATACAGAATTTTCAGCAAGTTTCTTATTGGAAGATATTTTTTACACCTTGTACAGAAACTTCAAGCAATGCGATAAGCAATAATCTACCAACTGTAGCGATATGGTTTCATCTGAGGCATACCACAATAATCTAGAGTCTTTCCGCTTTATTTTAGTCAAAAAATTTGTAACAATAAATTGAAAAGTGTTTGACAGTGTGGCTAAGTATACACTGCAGCACTTATAGATAATTAGAGGATTGAAACCATAACGAAATGCAGTAAGTACGATGCATTTGATTGGTTAGAAGTGTAACACACTGAGCAACAGCCACACCAGGAAGAGAAGCAGAACAAGAACTGTGTAACAGCATACAACTGGTACATGGTAGAAATCAGAGAACGCAGGACAAGCTCTCACAAATGAAGAAACAGTCTAATTTTCATCACTGATATTAAGTCCTGATAGACGTTGTACCTTTTGCTCCAAGGAATAGACTCTTGGGTGTTTTCCTGAAGTGGAGAAAAGAAAACAATGTTAATTACTCTATCTATGACAGTTTTAATTTTTTACGGAACATTTAAGTGACCCAATGATTTAAGCAGACCGCCAAGTAGGTGACACTAAATTGAATGTCGATACTGAACGTGTTGTGAGAATTACTGTTGGTTTCTCTCATTAGTGACAATATCCACTCAATTGATTATCCTTTAGAGTTAGGATTATGAACTAAAGGTGTGGGTTTAATTTTGTCATTGAAATCTTTCTGTCTAAATGATAACTCAAGTTTAATTGAATTTGAGATTTAACCGTCGATTGATTGGACGGTCTCAGGCTGACATGTCGGCTTCTTATGCAGCTGCTTTGACGATGTCTGGGCATTTAATTAGAATTTAATTTGTGGATGGTGGCTAGCAGTGGAATCCAGGATGCGCATTTCGTCCTAATCCATGGTTAGCCACCATCTACAAATTAAATTCTAATTAAATGCCCAGACATCGTCGAAGTATCTGCATAAGAAGCCGACATGTCAACCTGAGACCGAGCACTTCAGTCCAATCAATCGACGGGAAAATCTCAGATTCAATTAAATTAATATGACCCGTTTCACAGGAGGTGGCTCTCTTGGCCCAAGTGGTCTAGTGAATAACGATTTAGCGTTTGAAACTACGGGCACTGGATTCGATCCTCGGTAGGAAAATCATCACTCACTGTGAAATGCAGGTACGTCCAGATGATGAGTCCCAAATAGGACGAAATGTGCATCCTAGATTCCACTGCTAGCCGCCATCCACAAATTATATAACTCAGGTTTCCTAGAACTACCTATCCATAATTGCCTTTTCCTACCTATTTGGTAACTTGAAAAGTGATTGGTGCGATTGTTCCCAAGGGATTCGGTAGTATAACTTCACAAAATGTTGAAAAATAGCAAAATATTTTAACTTAGATGTTAACAACAACAAATTTTGAAATGCTAATGTCTTCGCATCATTTTCGATTGGCTTGTTTCATTGACAATAAGACTAGGTGCAGATGTACGCATGAAACGTGCTGGACGAGAGAATATTTACACTGGTGATGAAATACCCCTGACTAAGACAGATGAACTAGAGTTACCAGATATTGTGATTGCAGCTATTGGAAAAGATAAAACAAAACGCACTCTATTGATTTATGGTCATGTTGATGTCAAACCAGTGTATGAATCAGAACAATGGACACATGATCCATTCGATATGCAAATTAAAAATGGTTATCTACACGGACGTGGAGTAACCGATGATAAAGGACCATTATTAGGTTGGATTAATGTAATTGAAGCATTTCAGGTAAGTTGTAGTTCTCTTCTAAGATGGTTTTATGCATACACTATATGATAAGAATATATCTAAGAGTTGGTGAAATAGCTTATACTATCATACATTCTCTTATAATGATTATTTTTCGCTTCCTAAGTTTCAAATGGAACATAGGATATCAGAGGATCATTTTCAGTGTAAGTGTGTTTCTCTACCACGAGCTTTCAGCCCCTCTTCATCACATTATCTCCTCTATGTCTCACCCCCCAAACTCATCGATTACCATTCACGTTCCACTCGAAGGCTAACCTGACGAATACGAATTCACGTGAATGCCTCCTTTAATCTACATTGAAATTCATTTCGGGTCAATCATTTGATTTTCAGTCTCAAGAAAGGAAAGGCGGCGGGTGTTTTTATGAAAGTCTACGTTGTATTGGAAATTATTTTCGTGAAACGCGTGTCAAGTATCCAAAGTGTATAGAAGCACTGGTCTTATTCCTCCCACTGATTACTACACATTTTCACATTGATTTCTGGCTAATAAACCTTCTAGTAAAAAAGTGAAGCCTGTCAAATGTTTTTAGTGTAGATAACTAAATAAGCTCCCTATGACACAAACTGAGTCCTGGGTAACAAACTGGTTGCATTCCTACTTCTCTAACAGAATACAGTATACTGTATACAAAGGTAAATCCTCCTCTGCTGTGCTTACTGAAGCTGGTGCTGTACTCTCCCCACTTCTCTTTTCTTTCTTTCTACATGACTTACCATCTTCAAATGACATCAAGTTTGTCAAATATGCTGACGACCTGACTGTATCTTTGCCTCTCAAATGTCAAGGTGACTGCCGTAAACTAAATAGCTTTTTATCAGAAATCAGCCAGTGGTCCAAGGAAAACGGTCTCACCTTAAATCCCTCTAAATGCCAAACAGTCAATTTCACCTTTAGGCATAAATCTGACCTAAACAAACTGGTTAGCTTTCACGACGTGTGCAACATAGATGGCGCTGAAATAGAAACCAAATCGGAAATTAAATACCTAGGCGTCATTCTATCTGCTGATCTTTCCTGGTCGTCTCATATCTTGATGATTTTTATGAAGATATTCCGTCTTAACTTCTACATCAAGAAGTTAAGATATTCTGGAATAACCCAACCCTTACTTCTACAATTCGTTAATTCTTGCATCCTGCCTATTATTCTCTATTGTTCCACCTTAGTTCTTCCAGAGCTACTGAAGAAAGACTATACCTCATTACGCAGGATGTTAAAGGTTGTCAAGCAGGGCAAGCAACGTTCCACTTAACCGGCTTGTTAATATTCTGGTAGACAGACACTTGGACTCATGTGAAAAATGGGCGAAATCCATTTTATCTAACTCACACCACCCTCTTCATTCACAACTCTCCCCTTGTATCTCATCAGGCAGAACCAGAAGCCTATATAGAAAACTATACGCTCGCACTAGCAAGTACAAAAACTCAACCATACCCTACTTAGTTCGTGTTCTGTGCGATAAAGAAAGGATTAGGCGTGATACCCATAACTCATTAAGTAGTCAGTAGAACAACTGGATCTCGTCTTTCCAACTCATATCATTTATAGGTACGTATTCTTTCTTTCTTTTCCTTTTCTCTCTCTCTCTCTCTTTCTGTTATGTGCTGCTTTGTTTCTTTCTTCTGCTTACGCCAGTAAATATGCTACCATCTACTTTTCGAACACCATCAAACATTCTGTTCAATTTTTGGCTTTGCTACCGACATTCCAATATGCTAAAGTCATAATGAACTGAGATTTCCTTAATCTATGTAGAATTTTATTTATTGTTAATGTACAAACTGGGTGCAATACTGTAGTGAAATGCTGAGAGTTCCATTCTGTACCACAAGTACTGTTTTGGAATAAGGCAAATTACAATTATTATTAAGTGAAAAGAAACACACATCTATTTTTATATCAAAGAAGGCATAGTAGTTGTATAATGAATCTGTAGCTAGAATTAAATAAGATAAAAGTTATAGAAATGAAAGTATCTAGAAGAATGTCGGATGATTGATGATGATAAAAATTCGAACCATAAAAGAATTTGAGCCAGACACCTGTGAATTAACGGTTTGATGTAGCATCAGTTGAGCTATGAAACATGAAAATAGTAACTGTGTCATTATGGTTAGTGCTCAGCTGTTTGTGTGTGTGTGAATGAGTGCTGCTTTGATATTATCCATTTATCAACATGCAAGGTGTCTAGCTAGGATTACTTCCATCCCTCCTTACCACAATATTGAATTAGGAGTTGATTGTTAGGTGAGACTGATGGGACTGATTGGGATATTCTTGAGAGAAGAAAATCTAATCAGGTAGTTTGTGTGATGCTAAGCTGATAATTATGTACCATCAACTTATATAACAGCTAAGCAATGAAATGATGACTTGGTCAGAAGTCTGCTCTTGTGTCTGAGTTGGTAAAATGGTGAACTTATAGATAATTACTAGTCAAACTATCGAAAATAGTTCACTGGACTAATGAACACTCATCTTGACCTTTTGATTTTGTTGTTTTGCGTCCTAGCGTGAGAATATAGGCCTTCTGTCCAGTACTCCCTGGTTTTCAATGGTTCTCTAACTAACATTAATCCATGGTCTAATCTAATAATATATTGGTGAAATGAATTCATTATTTGCATTTACATAGTTCAGGATGAAAATAAACCAGTAGTTTCAACTTTTATCTAGGTACATCACTGATGAGATGGACCCCTGAATGAAGCAGGCAACTGTGTATTGTTTAGATAGCTTCAATATGGTTCAAATATGCTCTAGTATTTGATGCAAGTGGTTTTCAACTACTCACTTATGTAAGTAGTAGTATATCTAGATTTGATAAACATTAGTCGCATAACTTCATCAACTAGATTAATTCTCTACTCCTGTTTATATCGATTGTATACTTATTTCCCTTCTTTCTTGCATAGAAAACTAATATCCCTTTACCAATTAACATAAAATTCGTTATTGAAGGTATGGAAGAGGTTGGATCAGAAGGTTTATCTGATGTATTAAATATTTTATCACTGGGATTTTTCAAAGTGAGTGAAAACGTGTTTAATTTTCTTCCTTTTTATTTTGCTATTCATTGCGTTCCAGGTGGGTGAGATAGAAGCTCAAGCCGTGAATATTCACACTAGCAGTGATTCATTTTTTCCAGAGTTAAATTGTTAAACTCAGGCTTGATCTTTACTCTTCATCGCATATACTACAGCCCACGAGACGAGGGTTTAGAAGGTCTTTTATCGGGCTACGAACCTGAACAACTCGTGTGTCTGGCAAACACTCTACCAGTGAACCATCAATACGCAATTCCATTATGCAGAAATACGAATTCATACACAGACAAATGCTGACTCTAGACTAAAGCAGCCCAAAACGAAACTACCTAAAATAGACCTTGACAAATGGCTATCGACCAATCAGACTCGTTCGAAGTAGAAGTACGTAATTTGAAAAAGCCGTTTACATATTAGTAATGCACCGTTAAAAACTAGTTACACAGAATAACGTTCTTGTATATATTCCGAGAAAAGCTTCCAATTTCCCATAGGACGTCTCATAATTAGATTAAACCAATTTTGGTGGGTAAATTCGTCGAGATAACTGCGTATCATCGTGTTTCTTAATTGAGTCACCTCCCCGACCGACTTTTTCAGGTGACTCTGGAAACTTTCGATGTAATTTGTATCGGCCTTAACGAAAGCATTAACAAAATCGCCCATGTTATTGGCTACGTTATGAATATAGTCCACAGATGACAGTTAGCTACATGTTTACTCCTTCTAAATAACAGGCTTGGATGAAATTTGATGCATAATTCGTGTACAGCACCCACTATTCCGTCTATATACTGTGGAGTCGTCGGACTATTTGCTCGAGGTCATTAATCCGTTCACTAGGTAGTTTTTTTTGTGGGCTGCCAAAGTTTACAGTCACCAGACGAATAATGGATAAATCAGTCCATATCTACTGACATTATTTGTACGTCGGTGGCACAGTGGTTAGGACTCCCGCCAAGAATGCGCATGGTCCCAGGCGCTATCCCCTGCCGACGCACACCTAATATCTATTGTCGACCTGCAAAATTTGGGCTACCGATATCACATGCTGAAAATTTCATACCTGTACCAAAAAATACGGTGTGGAGTCAAGCTGTAATCAAAAGAAATTACAGTGACTGAGTGATATACTAGTCCCGAAATTTGTCGATTAATTCAAAGGGAAAAACACAATTTTTGTTCAACGAAGAAAAATGTCTCTTTTTAACGACTTCATTTTCAAGCTGTACAGTTGTATATATATTATGGAAAAAGAAGGCACCAAGTGACACTAGAAATTGCCTAGCCATTGTTGCACATATAATAAGAATAAAGATAATTAAAATGATGTATTAAAGGGGTGGAGTTGAAATACAAAACTTTTACAGATTAGTTAGAGAATTTCATTATGTGCTGACATCAGTTAGAGAACCACTGGGAAAGATTAATAAATAAACTGAATTGGCTTTAGGATTTAAAGAATATTAAGTCGAGTGTTGTCTAAAAAATTAACAGTACAATGATAATAACAATAAAGACGGCGAAGATGAAGTGAAGTGGAATAAATTCCAAAGGTAAAATACCATAAAATAAAAGAACATTAGTATGAACTAGGTAAAAAAAGGGGTTTAACAAAACTTTTTTGAACACACAGTTTAAGTTTTTGTCCATGTATAGCTGTAGCTTCTGCTACGCAGAAGTAAAGTAAACGTAGGCTCTTAAAGTGATTCCATTTGGTCCTTAAAGGATAAACCATGTGGGGCTGAATGACCTGACTCTAGAAGGTGTTCACAAATTGAGGACTACGTTGTCTTGTACTCACCTTTCATTAACTAAGCCCGGTAGTATTCAGCTACGCATTTACGGAGAACACGATTACAAAGTCCAATCTAGTTTGCTTTACACAAGTGTGTGAGTGAGTATATGTACAGACAAATGGATTTAAGTGATAGTTTATCCTTAATGCATTGTCGAATCATATTTCGGTTGGCAAATACTAAATGTAAGTCAGTCTTCTTCTTCGGTATTGTGATTTGGCTGAGGACGGTTTCTTTCTTGACGTTTCTTTCAGTAAACCTTCTATGATAACCATTATTTAAGAGAGTAGTCTTAAGGCTTTCTAGTTTTATGTCGACTGTATCTATACAGCAAGTTTTCCGAATTCTAGAGCACATAGAACGGATAAGATTTCTCTTTCTGCCTAGAGGTAGCCAACTGTTGAAGTTAGTGTGCTGTCCTATTGATCCAACATGATTTCATCGAGAGATGTCATCTATGATGAGAACAACCGATGATATCCAACAGGAATGCAATATTTTCCCCATTTTTATTCCATTTCACTACAGATGAATAAACTTTTATTACTCTGTTATCAGTGTGGAAGTTTGCTGCACTCAGTATAATGAAGAAGATGTGAATCTCCCACAGTGATGTCAAGTCAATGCCACTATATAATTCAGAAAATTCGTTCATCACGAATAGAACTTACAACTGTCCTCTGCAGACTTTTATCAACATCCGCCTTTGTTGGCTCCATAAAGAAGATCAAATAGCCAGTTAGAAACGACAAGCAACTCCGACAAACAACCGATCAAGAACCTGTCGCCCAAAAAGTAAGCAGAAGAAAAAATAAAGGTGGACTGAACATATGTTGAGAAAACCGTCAAGCGAAATCACGCACCATACTGTCGAGGGGAACCCGAATTATAAACAAGAAGTTGGCCGTCCAAGGGTGACAGGCAGGAGATCGTGTTATGAGGAAATGAAAGCTTATAGACAATTGTGTAGTCATTTGAAAAAGACTATTCGGAAGATAGTGAAATAAAGACAGGCTTTTGAAGCCCTAAATTCCACTAGAAACCGCAGGAGATACTGACAGAGGTGATCTAGGTCTACCATGAAATTCTAAAGATTGACTAGAAACCAGAGAAAAGTTTTATTCATCAACTGTATCTTAGTTTCATTGACTTTGAAAAGACCTTTGACAGTGTTGACCGAGAAGTAATTTGGAAACTTTTACAACACTTTGAAGTGCAGTGCTCAAATCTTCACCAGCCTAATTCAACAGATCTATGACAGTGTCATGTGTCGGGTTATCCACAACGGAAAATCAGCGGCAAAGCCTTTGAAGTGAAGACAAGAGTAAAACAAGACTGCCTATTATCATCTATGATATTCCTTATTGTGGTGAGAAGATAAGAACACTTTTGAACCGATAAGAAGATTTTAGAAGATCTGAATTTCACTCACGAATGACTCTTGTTTAATTTCACATAAACTCAAAGACTTGTGGGAGAAAACCAACAAACTGGCTGAAGACGACAGCGGGCAGCGAGGACAGGACTGCAGGTGAACATAGAGAAGATGGAGGTGATGAAAACAACCAATGAACGGCAACAACAACCAGCACCAATCACCATCAACGGGAGAGATTTCACAGAGACTATCTCCTTCCCTTATCTAGGAAGCATCGTTTCAAATACATGTCAGAGGAACAGAAGAAGATCTCAGTCAGCCAGCCAGAATCTGAAAGGTGAGGTACACCCTCATCAATCTGAAATCAGTGTGGAAATCTCCTGTACTCCGCCTCAGCACAAGGAGTGAGATTCGGATTTTCAACACAAATTTGGACTCAGTCAGTTTTCCTATGTGAATCAGAAACTTTAACTGCCTGTTACGAAAAGGATTTACAACAGTCTGTTGCAGACCTTTATCAACAGTTGCCTTCATTGGCTCCACAGTGAAGATCGAATAGTCGGCCACAGAGATTTAGCAGCGAGAAACTCTGTCTGGGAACAGACCTTCCGAGCAAGAGTCGATAGCTCAGCAAATATGTAGGAATAAATGGAGATGGATCGGTCATACGCCACTAAGGAGGCCGTCGAATGGCATCGCGTGCAGTGCATACCATGTTTGAGCGGAATCCAAATGGGAAGTGACGAGTAGGTCGTTGGTGCGAGGGTGACATGAAGGAGATTGTAAGAGGAGGAGATAAGAGATTATGGAATATCGTGGGGCCAGCTGAAGACGAAAAGAAAGAATAGAACAAACTGGGGATGCGAACAATAGTAAAAAATAATAACGCAGATGATACATTTCTTTCCTTTTCTAAATATTTTACAAATTAAAACCAGATATTCTGATAGGACCAGACCATATATTTGTATTAAGTATTCAGTTCACACCCTCAAAGGCAAAGTTAATCTATCGTAGCCAATATGAAGGCCCGCAAAACGTTGATTTTGAAGAGTCAATCAGGCTTAGAGAGCGCTATGAAATATTGGCGCAAATCAAATTCTCCTTGCGTCTGTGGTTTCGATCACGGTAGGTACAGTATTCCATTAATATGTACAGGTTAATACTAGGATTTTAGGGTAAGCCTAGAGTTCAGTCACTTTTTATTCCTTCACGTTCCCAGCGGAACATAGGTCTTTAAGCTAGGGACTTGAAATGCCGGTAGCAGTGGGTTGCTAGCCTCACACCCAACCTCCCCTCTTTACCAGCCCTATTACTGACTTAGCGAGGCAAAAGAGTGTGTCGGCTTAGATTCTAACCCCGAACCATAATTGTGCTTGTCGAGCATTCTACCCCTGTGCCATCGACGCACAGAGACCAGGTTAGGTACCACAATCTATAGTCACACAGATGAATACATCAATCATCTATAGTATGATTTCTTAATAGATTATCCTTGGCGTAACTCGGAGACATTCTTATTATAACAACACATAAGAGACAATTAGCCAGTGTAGTATCATGTTTGTAATGTTGTTTAGAGCGCTTGTTTTATTACACAGTTAGGCGTCTTTTTTGTATTTGAATTCTGATTGGTTGTTCAAGGTCAAGGTGGCTTTAACTACTATGATAGTGTAACTTTTTACACACATTTAACTAGAAATATTCCCCTTTTTTCTTTGTTAACATTATACACATACACACACACAAATACAAAAACGCATAAGAATGTGAATTATGTTGCAATATCAGATAATTATTGGCTTGGACAAACAACTCCATGTTTAACCTATGGTCTTCGTGGTGTTGTTTACTTTTATATAACTGTTGAAGGCGCCAGTCGTATATTACACTCTGGATGTCATGGTGGAGCCATTTATGAACCATTAGCTGATTTAAATTATTTATTAAATTCGCTAACAGATAATCAAGGCAATATTTTAGTACCTGGTATATATGATGAAGTAAAAGAGATTGATCCAGAGGAAATAAAGTAAGTTTTGTAAAAAATTATATTTGTAAAATCTCAGAGACATTGAAATGAGTAATTCCACCGTTTCGTTCGGCAATCTGGTCCCAACTTCTTCAGGGAAATTAATCGAAATTAACATAATGGAGGTTTATTTATAAAGGGAACATCACTTGTTTTTAAAAACTTCGTCTAATCATGAGTCATAAAACAAGGTATCAACAAGTATAATAAACAAAATTGTACGAGTTGTGATCAAAATTTGACCTCATACTTTCAAATATTGATCTACCTTTGTTAAACACTTTAAACACAGTGTGTATGTGTGTGTGTGTGTGTGCGGGTAAACAGTTATAAAACAATTTCTTAACGTCTCCATAAGTAGATATAGACAGTCGGGAACTTTGACCGAGTATTATTAGTTAGTGATACGTATCCATTCTTATTTATTAATCAGGATTTTCTATGCGTCAGCTAACACACATCACACCTTCATGTCTGTTCAAACTGTTAGTATCTAGAATTTTATGATTAGACGTAATTTCAAAATTGTGGTGTTTAGGATTAGCATTTAGTTGAAGCACCCTGTTGGACTTTTTACTTTGTCTTCTTTCTGAAGATTGAGCTGCTTTATTCAACCTACTGGAGTTGTCAGGTGACTGGACAGCTACGGATTTAGGATATGCATTTTGTTGCAGACAACGGAGAGTAAAAACACTATGGTTGTGCCAATTACATAGTTTCTTTGTTAATTTAATTCGATTGCAAAATAATTCAAATGAATTGTAGTCAAGATTTGACAGAACTATTAGAACTTTTCTGTCAAATCTTGACTACAGTTCATTTGAATAAAATAAGTTTTGTTGTATAGTATTATTATTTTAGGCAATACTTTTAATATAAATTGGAATTTTCAGCATATAATTCAATATATTACACTCAATGTTCTCTTTACACTTTATATAGTACAGGCATGACCTACAACTAATGCCTTAAAGTGGTCGTCGGGCTTGCAAACTCATTCGGCCAGGACAAGCTCTGTAGGTTTAAAGACCCTGTAGGTTGACCCAATTAAACAAAATAATATAATTTACAAAATATCTTGCAGTGACTGTGAGTTAGGTCAACTATGTAGGTCAAACTATTAGAAAGAGGGTGATATTACATCGGCCCTTGTTTTGTATCCATGTTGAGACTTTGTCGGCAACCAGTTCCTTAGGGTCAATGCAAATAAATGATATGGTCAATACACTCAAGCATTTTACTTTTAATCCTTAAATCGAAGAATCAATACAGACCTATCTCGCAACTGCATTTTGCATCTGAAATCAATAACTTCTGATGTCATTTAATTTATAATCTAAATTCCTTTGTATGTTTACTGTGTGTATTTTGCTGCAGATTATTACAATAGAGTCTCTCTTACTGTCTGTCACTTACTACACAACATACTTTTCGGTCAATAGATAGTGAAATGAATAGTCCTCATGAGATTTTAAGGAAAGAAACTACTTGACTAACAATTGTCACAAAACATTGAAATATATATATATATTTAGTAAATAGAAGGAGATATCGTTTTTGGGGAGCTGCAAACTTCCACAGTTACATTCTACAATGTTAGACTAATTTAACCATTTCAATTACAAAATTCCGAAGATTTCCATTGTTGTGATATAAATAATAAACTACTGACACGTTTTCAGTAGTCAGAAACAAAACAACCACAATGCAACAATGATGCATGCCAAGTAATCCACAACGGGAAAAAACTCACGGAATCCTACGAAGTGAAGACGGAAGTAAGACAAGCTGACTGGCTGCCTACTATTTGTAGTGATTTTCCTGATTTCGGTAGACTGGATAATGCGACAGCCAACGACAGGCAGCGAGGAAACAGGCATAAAATGGATCAACACAAAAGACTTGGAGAATCTGGACTTCCCCATGATGATATGTGTCTCATTTCCTACAAACTGGAAGATATGCAAGTGAAAAGCAACAAGCTGGCAGAAGAAACATCCAGAGAAGATAGGACTTCAGGTAAACATAGAGAAAACAGATGTGGTGATGAAGATTCTTAGCCAACAGCAACAGCAACAACAACAGACAACAATCAGTCAGCATAAATGGTAGAAACCTGAAAGAAACAACCTCCTTCACCTACTCACCTACCTGGGAAGCATCGTTTCAACTACAGGCAGACAGAACTGATAAGGAAATCAAGGCGAGGATCATCGGGAAAGTGAGGCAAGTTTTCAACTCTCTCTAATCTGTGTGGAGGTCAACAGCACTCAGCATGAAAATGAGATCCGGATTTTCAACTCCAATGTGAAGTCAGTGCTACTTACTATGCGGATCAGAGACTTGGCCAGCGCGTCATAAAGAGCACTTCAAATAAACTACAGACCTTCATTAACAGCTGTCTTCTCTCAATACTACTCAAGATCAGATGGCCGGCCAGAAAAGATCAGCAACAGGTATGGATCTCTGGGAGAAAATCAACCAGGAGTCGATTGTGAAACACATAGTCAGGAAGGAATGGAGATGGATTGGCCCTATACTCTTAGGAAACCATCGAGTGACATCACTAGACAAGGCATTGCTCGAGTGGAACCCGAAAGGGAAGCGGGTGGCGAGTTGGTCTTCAGTGTGAGGGTGACTTGAAGGAGGTCATATGAAGATGAGATGAAAGCATGTCGGCAGACTTGGAGCGGGATGAAATAGTTGGCAGAGAACCGAACGCAATGGAGACGTTTGGCTGAAGCCCTATGTTCCTCTAGGAATTTATATTTATTTATAACCATATAACCATTTTAGTTCTCAGAGGCATTTTTTATCCTATGTATTTGAGAAAATGAGATGAACGCATAAATTTAATTTTTCTTCTTTAAATTTGTCTATAGACGTTTTGAAAAGTTAAATTTTGACCTGCCTACCTATCAAAGGCACATCACAACACCGGGCTTACTAACATATGACAAAGTTGACATATTACGACGTCGATGGTGTCTACCGTCTTTATCAATTCATGGAATAGAACATTCATTTGATAAACCAGGTGCTCCAACATTAATCCCTAGAAAGGTAAATATATAAATGGATATATATATATATATATATATATATATATATATATATATATATATATATATATATATATATATATATATATATATATATATATATATATATATATATATATATATGACTTCTAAGAGATAAAAAATCAGCACCTGTAAGCACATGACAGTGATATCTCAAACTTCTAGGAAATTCTCTTGAATGGGAGTAAACAATTTAGCAGTTACACTAGTGGGTGATGCCTCAGCAACAACACATGTAGCATATTTGTTATTATTATTATTGTTCCCTTGGGTTCCTAGTGGAACATACGGCTTCAACTGCACGTCTCCACTTGCATCTATCTTTTGCTGTATTTTTCACTTGCATCCATGTTAGTCCATACTGTCTCAACTCCTCTTCACACGATCTCCTCCATGTCACCCTTGCACTGACGCCCCACTTGTCGCTTCCCTTCCGGGTTCCACTCGAATAATGGCCTGACGCGCGCGCGATGTCACCCAGCGACCTCCTCAGCGAGTGAGTGTCCAATCTATCTCCACTTTCTCCTGCAAATTTGTTAGTTGACGATTAGTTCTTGTTTTGTCTGTTCCCAGCCAGAGTTTCTTGTTGGTGATTGTTTCCGACCCGGCCATCTGATCTTCAGTGTAGACCAAAGACAGTTGTCAATAAAGGTCTGCAACAGGCTGTTGGAAATACTCTCCGTGACCCGCCCGCCAAGTTTCTCATCCGTATAGAGGAACTGACTGACTTGGCGTTATTTGTATTGAAAATCCGACTGAATTTTGTTGTTGACGGTGGCTGAGTGACGAAGATTTCCAGATCGGTGTCAGATTGATGATATTGATGTGTTTCTCGCCTTCCCGATTCTCGCTCGATTTGACATCCTTGTCCGTTCATACTGCCTGTAGTTGAGACAATGGTCCCTAGATAAGTGAAGTGAATGAAGTAACCTCTTTCAAATCCCTCCCCTTGATGGTGATTGGCGCTGGATGCTGCTGCTGTTGTTGTTGTTGGTTGGTTGGTTATTTTCATAACCTCCGTTTTGTCTATGTTCACTTGGAGTCCTGTCTTTGTTGCTTCTTCGACCAGTTTGTCGGTTTTCGCTTGTAAGTCTGTCTACGATTTTGTGTGACATCAAACATAAATCATCCACAAGCGAAATCCAGGTTTTGTAGGTTCTTCACGTCGGTCCAGGATATCCCTGTCTTATCGTTTTCCACTTTCTGACTGACGCATAATCCAGTCCACCACAACTACGAATATCATTGGTGATAATAAGCACCCCTGTCTGACTCTTGTCTTTACTCCAAACGCATCTCTGAGTTTTCCGCCGCGGATCACTTGACATGTGCAGTTGTCGTATAGCTGTTGAATAAGGTTGATGAATATTTGGGGTAGGCCGTAGTACTCGAGTAGTTTCCAAATTACTTCGCGGTCAACGTTGTCTGTCGAAGGCCTTCTCAAAGTCTATAAAGTTAAGGTACATGTTTGATTGCCATTCTATTTAAGTTAATATAATAGACTGAATCACGTTACACGCATAATGTGACAGCTACAGTGATACAGTCAGCAAGAAGACTTAGATCTTAGGTTTCGTGCTAGTTGGCACTAACCAGTCAGCAAGGCATATCTGCAACTTTGAAGGACCTCATATCCTTTCAGAAATTCGAACTCGCATTACCCTCCTCCAACCATCTAATATCATTAAATTAATCTGCATCGTGATGGCGAGCTACCTCGAATGGTGGCCATATTACAAACAAAGGATTAGACATATCACAATAGTCACTGACTAGTGTCCAATCAAAGCTCAATTTTCAATAGACTGAAAAGTACTTAAGACAATAATTCACTAATTAAAATTTGAGATGAATAATTCCCTAAAAATCAATAAAACATTTAGATGACATAGAGAAGATTTGTAGCTCAGGTTATCAAGAATACTCGTCTGGAGAGACAGAGAGATGGCTGATAAACTCATGTTGAATTCTAAAAACTCACTTCAAATTGAAATATGCTCTGAAAATGTTATCTAGGAAGACAATTAAACTTTCGCTTAAATTAACCATTCACTTCAAAGAAGACACACAACTAAGTTTATAGTTTGGGGGCTTGCTTGAATCATTGGACTACACGAATTTCCATCCACAACAACATATCTTTAGTTCCCGCAGTTATAATCATTCAGTTGTGTCCATGGGTGAGTGGCCAAATGTACTCATACATATATTTAATTGGTATGCAACCCCTATTGTTGCTCAATTCTGCAGGACAAAAGAAAAGAATACCATAAAGGATTATTTTATGCTTCAGATCTAACATCACTGCGTCACATGATCACCTTGAGATGGCTGTTTTACTCAAAACTTTTGGATTGAGAGCAGATATTATGGAATAAACTCTAAATATTATGTATATTGTGTAAACTTATTGTGATTAATAAAGCTATTATGGTTAAGTTAATGCCTAAGACTAATAATGTTGGTAGAATATATCGTACTAATAAAATATATACCATACGACCAATAGTAGATTTCAGGAATACCCCTAATTATGAATTATCAAAATACATATCTCTAATATTATGTCACATTAGCAACCCTTCAAACTCTAGACTAACTAACTAATTCATATGAGATGAAAAAGAAACTAAGTGACACTCAACAAGAGAATAATGAAAAAATGGTTAGTTTTGGCATAACTGGTCTTTACACTGATATACCAATCAATATGGCAGCCTTAGAAGCAGTGAAAAGAGAAGTAACTGCAGATCCTGAACTCACTCATTGGATAAAGCTGCCCACTGAACAAATTATTTTAGGGATTCATTTATACCTCACATCTACTATCTTTAAATTCCAACGTAAAATATACAGACTAAGAGAAGGTGTAGCAATGGGAGGGATCACAAATATCCCCTATCATAGTAGATATCCTTATGGATGATAGCTGGGAAAATATTGCTCTTAATACAGTTAATCCTACTCCAAAAATATGGTGCGGGAGATATGTGGATGACACTTTCACAGTGTTAAAAACAGATCATATCTCTAGTTTCTTCACACACATAAACTCACTAGTAGAGGGATTAAAATTAACATTTGAATCAGAAAATGAACAAGGAGAATTAGCTGTGATGTTAGATTGTAAAATAAAACGAATAGAAGAAGGTAAACTGCACACTAGTGTGTACAGAAAGCCAACTCATTCTAATAGATATTTAGACTGTAATTCATCTCAGCCGTTAACTATTAAGGCAGACTTAGATTAGTGTCCAACAAACCGAGCAGTAGCACTAAGTAATACAAAAAAGACCTAAATGATGAAATAAAACAGATAGAAGAAGCGTTGGTGTTATATAACTAACTATCCTATAAAATTCGTTAGGGAGATCGAAAATGGCCAAAGTAAAAATAAAAAAATAATTGTGAAACTAGTAATGACAACATAAATAAAAGAGAATATAAGGCATCTATATATAAGGAAGGGACATCTGAAACCTTATGTAGGATTTTCAATAAACAAGAAATTACAGTGGCGTTCAAAACTACAAACTCACTCATGTGGGAGAAGGTCTGTAGGTTGAAAGACCCTGTCGGTTGACCCAATTAGACAAAATAATATAATTTACAAAATACCCTGCAATGACTATGAGTTAAGTCAACTACATAGATCAAACTAGTAGATCAGCAGTAGTGAGATCGTCGGAACATAAGAATTTAGCTAAGGTAAAAATGGTTGACCCCGAGAAGATAAGTAATTTAGAAGAAAGCTCAGCACTACATTGCACTGCATGCATTAACACACAACCACAAAGTAGGGTGGGAGAAGGTTAAAATTCTAAAAAGTAATCCAGTTAGGTCAAGAACGAGATAGGTTGATTACTGAATCCTGCCTGGTTCATCGAGTCTACACCTAACACACGCAATAGGAATGACTCATCACTCATACCAGAAATATGGAAGATACTACTACCAAACAAGTCAAGCGATGAAAAATAGTGGAATTACATAAACGAAGTTAGAAAGTTGCGTGAGTAGTGTCTTGATATGATTATGAGTGGCAATAAATTGCGCCCAAAACATCATCAATAAACATTACTGTATAACAGTGTGAGGCCTCACGAAAAAATAAACCACAGCGCACAAGTTCTATTCGTACATCAACAAAGCTATTATTATTGTTATTATAAAGGTGTATGATAACTTGACTTTGTCGGTCCAGTAGCAACATCTTTGACTATAATACTCGGAGAATAAGAGTTCGAATCTCACTGGAGACATTGTTTCAATCAAATTTTACACATACACCTTGCTGATGAGTGTCAAGTGGACACGAAATCTAGGTTCAAGACTCACTGTCAATTCACTTCAGCAGTAAAAGTGTTCCATAAGGATGAGTTATTTTTTAACTGATAATTGTGTGTAAATGTTAGGGGGAAAAATAGTCCGTGTATCCATTCATGAGAGAATAATACAAGAATGGAGCCAAAGTAGAAGTAGGGACCAAAGTAGTTTAGCATATAGAAGGATTAAAACTATGAAGGAAAAAAATGGTTGAACAAACGTTTTCTGTATATAAAACTCTGGCTTTCCTACTTTGGTGGCTAAAGCTTCAGGAATACAGACGAGTGCTGGATATTTAATGGTTTCGGTAGGTTATTTTTCACCTTGATTGATTAAATCGTCACACTACGGATCATCATTGAACAGAGCTTGGAATGGTTGTCAACTCTCTACCTCACTCAGCTTCATTGACTTTGAAGAGGTCTTCGACAGTGTCGGCCGAAAGGTGATTTGGCAACTTCTCCGCAACTATGGGGTGTCATCGACAATTATACACCTCATCCAACAGTTGTAAGATAATGATGCATGCCAAGTAATCCACAACGGGAAAAAACTCACGGAATCCTACGAAGTGAAGACGGAAGTAAGACAAGCTGACTGGCTGCCTACTATTTGTAGTGATTTTCCTGATTTCGGTAGACTGGATAATGCGACATACAGCGGTGGGCACAGAGGAAACAGGCATAAAATGGATCAACACTAAATACTTGGAGAGTCTGGACTTCGCCGATGATGACATTTATCTGATTTCCCACAAACTGGAAGATATGCAAGTGAAAAGCAACAAGCTGGCAGAAGAAACATCCAGAGAAGATAGGACTTCAGGTAAACATAGAGAAAACAGATGTGGTGATGAAGATTCTTAGCCAACAGCAACAGCAACAACAACAGACAACAATCAGTCAGCATAAATGGTAGAAACCTGAAAGAAGCAACCTACTTTACCAAACAAACTACAAACCTTCATCAACAGCTGTCTTCTCTCAGTACTCAAGATCAGATGGACGGTCAGGAAAGATCAGCAACAGGGAGGGATCTCTGGGAGCATACCATCCAACCAGGAACCGATTGTGAAACAAATAGGCCGGAAGGAATGGAGATGGATTGGCCCTATACTCTTAGGAAACCATCAAGTGACATCACTAGACAAGCCATCGCTCGAGTGGAACCTGGAAGGGAAGCAGTGAGTTGGTCGTCAGTGCAAGGGTGACTTGGAGGAGGTGATGTGAAGAGGAGATGAAAGCATGTGGGCAGACTTGGAGCGGAATGAAATAGTTGGCAGAAAACCGAAGGTAATGGAGACGCGCGGCTGAAGTCCTATGTTCCTCTAGGAATTAAAGGAAAGAATAATACTAAGATAAATTTAAATCAAAAGGTTGTAGAAATAAGGTGGCTAGTATCGATCAAATGTTGAATCATTCAGCTTCTTATAGGACTATTTGCACCCCTTCATAACCATGCAGTATATAGTATTCTCGAAAGCTGTTGAAAAAAAATCGCATCGAACAACCTATATGTATAACTAGCTTCACAACATCAAGTGAATGGATATAGGCACATAAAGTTGGTCAACTTCGAGTTCTATTCCTATGGGTTCTCGAAAGGTAATGGTCGACTAGAAAACGCTATTCTCGAAAATAGTTTAATGAATGTACTTTCCAGGGAGTGTGAGATCCTACTTTTAGGGATACCAGAGGCTTAGTCATCCTTGAATTCAAGCTTCAAATACAGCATTTTGTTGATTACATATGTTGAATCATATTTTATAGATTTTAATTGTTATTCAAGTATTGGTTTGTAGGGATTTGAATGATTGGTTGCAGGACTTCATCATGAGTTGACATCGGTTACAGAACCATTGGAAAATCAACAGGGTGTACTGGACAGTTGTTTCCTACGTCCTAGTCTGGAACTCTTCATCAGTGTGCTCGCACCGTCAGGGTTCAAACCCAGGACCTTGTGGTTACAAGGATAACGAGCTCGTAGACCATTAAGCCATTGAGACCCAATCCAATGACCAGACCACGAGTTATAACTTCTGCCAATTCATAACATAGCCGGACCGCTAGCCAATGTCATCCATGGCGAGTATTTGTCATCATACCCAACCAGCTGCACCCTACTGGTCAAAACTTTCCACCAGAACCCAGGTAACTACCTACCTGAATAGGGCAAGTCGCTAGTGAGCGTCTCATCGATATTCAAGTATTGGTTTGTAGGGGTTTGTCTGTTTGGTTACAGGAGTTCATCATGAACTGATATCGGTTAGAGAACCATTGGAAAACCTAGGAAATCCATTTTCTATCAAGATATTTTCCCAGAAGATTTGACACTTCCTTCACAGCATGAAGACTCCTTGTGCGTAAAATGATTCCAACAGAGATGATAAACTTTATTTCATAATAATTCACAGATTCGACCTTCATCACAGTGATCTCCACCAAATAACATCTTCTTAAAGTCGGATTTTGGTCAATTATTTTATTCTCACCTATAAGTATATTGAAAAGCCAACTGTCTCGAAATATTCGGATAACATCCCAGTGTTTGGATGGTTAACGAGCTCACCCTGTAACTGGAAGGTCCTAAGGTCGATTCCGGTTGGGATGCGTACTGATGAATTTTTTTTTATTTTTGATTTACAGCTTGATTCCACACTGTATTTTTGGTACTAGTATGGAATTTTCAGCATGGATATCGGTAGCCCAAATTTTGCAGGCCGACCATAGATATCAGGTGTGCGCCGGCGTGGGCTCGAACCCCGGACCATGTGCATGGTCGGCGAGAGTCCTAACCACTGTGCCACCGGCGCACAAAATTTGAATGAAACAGCTATCTAGTACTCTCAGGGTTTTCAATTGTTCTGTAACTGATGTCAACTTGCGATCAGATTTGTAACCAATCAGATCCTTGCAAACTAATACCTAAGTAATTTCGATTTATTAATTTTCTTTTCAGGTAATGGGTAAATTTTCTATACGAATTGTACCAGATCAACCGCCTAAATTAATTGCTTCAAAAGTTATCAGTTACCTGAGAGCAGTTCATCAATTACGCAGATCATCAAATCGACTAGATATTAAAGTATTTCGAGATGGTCGACCATTTCTAGGTGATCATACAAGTCCTAATTATATTGCAGCCTATCGGGCAATTCAGAAAGTATGGAAAGTACCACCAGACTTAACACGTGATGGTGCTTCAATTCCAGCAGCTTTAGCATTAGAAGTAAGTCAGTTATTGTATATATATAAATATTATTCGTTTAACATAAGGCTTTAGAGGCTCATCTATACTCCATTCCGTTCTCAGTCATGACGTACACCACGTTCTACGATTACACACAAGGTTCTAATTCTTCCACATAACACGATCTTCTCGGATACTCAACCCGCCGCTTCCCACTCAGCTTCCACTTAAGGGCCTGGGATGTGCTGCCAGTCAAAAGTCTCTTCAACGGATATCCAATCCATTCACATAAAATATATCTACTTAACAAAACCACACAGTAATAGGGTGTTATTTGCTGATGCTCAAAACCACATCGAGGCACTTACATGATTTATTATCCCTTGATTTGATTGGTAGTAATATTTTCCATATCTGTGGCATTGGTGGTGAGTCATTTCTAAAGGTAGATTCCATGATTAATGACTCAGAAATTAACCTCTCTCCACCTACCTATACTACTTTTCAAAACTACAACTCTCACTCACCCAACTGTATGATTGTGAGTTAATATATGCACTGCAATTGCCCATAGAGTTGGCTCTCGTGACCCAAATGGTCTAGTGGATACTGCTTTGGCATTTGAAGCTATGGGCACTGGGTTTGAGCCTCGGTAGGAACATCATCACTCAATGGAAAATGCAGGTACATCTGGATGACTAGTCCCTAATAGGACGAAATGCGCATCCTGGTGGATTCCACTGCTAATCGCCATCCACCAATTAAAATTAAAATATATAGTCAGCAGAAATTACATAAACAGAAGTCAGTTCATTTGACTGTCACTCGTCAGTAGACATTTGTACCAATAGAAATAATGAAAACAAAACACGTAGTTCAGCGAAGAGTCACTTTTCGGAGGAGAATTCATTTTCTTAGCTGTACAATCGCAAATATATATAATCAGATGCTCACTAGCGACTGGCCCTATTCAGTCAGTTGACCTGGGGTTCTAGTGGGAAGCCATGACCAGTAGGATACAGCAGGTCGAAGATGAGGCAGTAACTCATCGAAGAAGACATTGACAGAATTTAGAATTCAACGACCATTGAATCGGGTCGAAGTGACTCAATGGTCTACGAGCTCGCCTTGTAACCGGAAGGTCGTGGGTTAGAACCCCGGTGGGTGGGTACTGCTAAAGAGTCCCAAACTAGGACGAAACAGCTGTCAAGTACTCCCAGGTTTTCCAGTGCTTCTCTAACTGATGTCAACTCATGATTAAATCCTCCATGCAATCAAACAAAATCCCTACAAAACCAATACTTAAAAATATATATGTGTTATTTTTGTATGTATGTATGTATACATTAAGTTCGTCAAAGAAAATTACAATTAGTTATGGTTATATTAACTAAACAGGTGAAGATTGGTAATACAAGTTAAGAAAATTAGGTGTTAATGAAATTAGGGTAGTAACAAAGGTGATGAGATGTCACAAACAGTTGTTAAAAAAGAAGTTACGTAATAATATGAATAGTTTGATGAGTGAGTTTTGCTCAGGATGCACATAGAAACAAAGTAGATAATACGAAATTACGTACGAGTTCTAAATGAATACAAGAATTATAAGCAATTAAAAAACAGACAAAGAAACGAAACTAAGTCATCGAAACCAAAAAACATCCAAAAATGAAAAACTGTTTGTGACAACTCACCATCTTTGTTACTACACTTATTTCATTAACACCTAATTTTCTCGACTTGTATTACCATTCTTTACCTGTTTAGTTAAAATAACCATAACCAAATGTAATTTTCTTTGACAAACTTAATGTACCCATACATACAAAATGACCCAAATATATTTTCGATCGTACAACTAGGAAAATGAATTCACCGTCGAAAAAGAGACTCTTCGCTGATCTACGTGTTTTGCTTTCATTGATGCCTGGATGGGGATTATCCATGAATTGAAACGTATCAATAAAAAATATGCAAGCAGTCGTCATATATTTGTAATGACTAATATCAAATTCAGAAGGCAGAAGGGGTGAGCGAAGAAATATTTACTTTTCAATTAGATCCTCATCTCCAATTCTAATCAAATATAAGGTAGCAATTTTATTACAATACACAATTTAACAGTCAAGTGGCTCAGATGTGTATGTTAACAATAATTAGTCAGTGTTAAAATGTCAGTGAGACAGGTGATAATTAACGAAGAAAATTAACACACACAATTTAAAGGTAGACATGGCTGCAACACATGGATTGCGTAATGCATAATGTTGGAAAACTGAAGAGTAATTAGGGAATAAGCGTGTGCACAGACTGATTACGTAACAGGTTGTTAAAGAAAATAAAACGATTTGGACAGTGGTAACTTGTAAATAAGGACGAAGTGGTCATAAGAATAAAATAATTTTACAAAGATTTTATATGTGAGGAGATTACTACACGAAACATAGACATTGGCATTTCTGTATGCACCTTGAAGGGGAACTTATTTTAAGATGTACAATGAATGTTCATTTCTTATTCAATAAGGAATATTACAGATAAATTTTGTCTATTTTGTCTATTGATTGATGATTCACTGGAATGCCGAGCTTCTAAAAATTCTCTAGCATTCCTGTTGTTTCCTCTGTCTAATATGTAAACGTTGTCCCAGTCGAAATGATGTTCATAGTTGTCTGTATGTAGTGATATGAGGGAGTGGATATCATGTCTTTTGACGGCTAGCTTGTGTTCGTGGATACGAAGACGAAGGCGACGTCCACTTTGGCCGATGTAGTGTTTTTCTCAGCTGTTACAATTTATTTTGTAGATGATGTTGGTTTTGTCTTCTTTCGCTGTTGAGTCTTTTGGTTGAACTGAGTGAAGTGAATTTGTTGGTTTTGTACGACGTCAATTCCTAAAGGTTTGAAGAGTCTCGTAGTGATTTCTGAGATATCCTTTATATATGGTAGGGCAATTTTCTTTGTATTTTCCTTGGGGGCTTTCGGTCTGATACGTTGGCTTGGGGGTATATGTTTTTTGGTGAAATTCTGTGGATATCCATTATTTTGAAGAATATCCATGAGATATCTTTCTTCAATTTTCCTTAAGGTGGGAGTACTGCGATGAGTCTTGGACCTCTTGAATATTGTTTGTATGCAATTCCTTTTGTGTGTTATTTGATTGTTGCTGTTGTAATTCAGTATTTGGTCTGTGTGACTTTATTTTCTATAAACTTGAGTTTCTAATTTCCGTGTGGTTGTTCGCTTGATTAAGACGTCCAAAAATGAGAATTTGCTCCCAGATTCATCTTCTCTTGTGAATTATATGTCATTGAAGACGTTGTTCATTAAGCTGTGAGTTTTATCTAACTTGTTTCTTTAGTAATAATCAAAAGAAACGAGTTAGATCAGTTAGAGTTATCAAACAATGCACGTAAATGCAATCTGCGTTATAATTAGTCAGAACAAAAGGTAGTTTGAGGCTAGTTATAGGGTGACAATTGTAATTTTAAGGGTGAAAAACACAGTGCATTAACAATGACCCCAGCAGGATTCGAACCTTAGGCTATCAAGTTACGAAACCTATCTAGTTGACCACCCGACCCTTCTGACTGGGAGTCGATAGCCCGTGAATTCCAACTTATGTTGGAGGATTTCATCATGCCGGAAGTTAGAACTCATGGTCTGGTGAATGGATTGAGCCCCAGTGGCTTAATGGTCTACAAACTCGCTAGCCTCGTAAACACAATATCTTGGGTTAGAACCCTGTCGGTAGGTGCGTACTGATTAAGAGTTCCAGACTAGGACGTAGGAAACAACTGTCCAGTACACACTGTTGATTTTCCAGTGATTCTCTAACTGATGTCAGCTTAGGGTGAAGTCCTCCAGCCAATCAAAACAAAAAGCTCCCTACAAAAACCAACACTTGAAAATTCCATATATATATATATATTCAAATTGTAATATAAAAGTCAAACAGAAGCTCAGGAAAATAAAATGATACAACCCAAAGAAAACAAGTGTGTCGGAGGTACAACAGTGAAATACTCACCAACCACCATGCCACACGTCGTCCAGGGTTCGATCATCAGCCGACACCCACACAAACACCTGGACCTCTTTTAGCCCGTAGTAAACCATTCGGTAAATACAGAAGGCTCGGAGTAAGACTAGCAACCTAACCCCTTAGTACCTAAACACCAATGCAAGTGAAAATTTCGAAGCTCAAGCCTAAACCTTTATGTTCCACTAGAAAAGCAAAGGAATAAAACCAAAATACATCATTAAAGGATAACGAAAAGTCATTGATAAGTAAGACGTTAACAGTTTGATTGAAGTCCAACGATGAATTCCCTTTGGATATATTAATCCGGCCTTTCAAACATTATATTTTTTTTATTTTTGATTACAGCTCGATTCCATACAGTACTTTTTGGTACAAGTATGGAATTTTCAGCATGGATATCGGTAGCCCAAATTTTGCAGGCCGACCATAGATAACAGGTGTTCGTCGGCAGGTGATCGAACCTTGGACCATCAGCATGGTCGGCGAGGGTCCTAACCACTGTGCCCCACCTAGTCGAAGTCGCTTTGCCAGTCACTTACTGCAAATGCACCCAACATGTCTGCTCAGTGCCCTGACTAACTGTGTTTCAACACAAAACTTTGCATAAAACTGCACCAGTTCGAGTTGCCACACTCCATATGGCACACAAAAGAAGAGAAGAGAGTAAAGAGAGGTTCAAAGGAGAGATAATAAACAGAAACGCGATTGAGGGAAAAAGAAGAATAATATGGAAGAACAACAGGCTTTCATTGGATATGATATATGACAACGAGTGAATGCATCTGCGCCAGCCATCACCGAAAGCGATTTTCAGCCATATCACCAATTGTCTTCAGCCTTCATTTGTTCTTACCATCCCCACGACCATAACCAGACAACCAGCCAGTCTACACATACCTACGTACTTGGCTGGCTGACTGGCTCAAATTAACTGTCACCGATTTCATTGACTGATGAAGCCATCTTTTGGTTTCACCACCTCATACTAGCTCTTTTGCAACCTCATCGATCCTATGTCAGTCCGTGGAGGAAGGCGATGGCTAGGTATGCGCAACACATGTCACAAGTATCTCAGTCGACGTCACTTTACAACCTTGTAGCACTCGACCGTAGCCTAACCTCAACATTACTCACCCTACTATACCACTTCACACAAGAGATAGAACCCAGACACTATGATCTCAAACACAGCTAGCTAGCCTCTTCATGTCTTCCACTTTCAGCGGCTATGTCTTACACCCATAAAGGAGGAGGAAGCAAACTGCTGAGCAATACACATGTCCTTTGCTCGACAGTCAAATATTACGTCTACGCCAGAGATGGCTCAAGTTGGAAAACGCTAAATGAGCCTCTTCTGTATCCGTGCTGATATTTAGTCAGCAATTAACCCACTGGGGCCGGTTGATGCACACGATTTACCACTTCACTGCTGGCTGTATTTAAGCTAGGAGCCGATGTAATCCATTCCTATGTCTATCAAATGTTTGGTGACTGAGGAAATCAAGCTATTCGCCCGCTTTGACTGAAAGCTATTTTGCGAAGTTTTAAAGAATCTGACACTTAAATCCTTCTTGTCGGTTTTCTGATGTAATTACTCTTCTCACATACACTTGAATTAATCTTAATTAATTTAATATTAATTTAAGGTAACATCTCAAGGGGAACTTGTCGACTTCTGTCAAACAAGATGTTCATAGTATAGAGACTAGCTAGCTCAACTACAGGATATCTCCTAGTCAGCATAAAAATAATAATCACTTTTTTATTTAAGTGTTGGTTTGTAGGGATTTGATTGGTTTCAGGATTTCATCATGAGCTGACGTTAGTTAGAGAACCATTGGAAAACCTGGGAGTACTGAACATCTGTTTCGTCCAACACTTAAATAGCAATGAGATGCTCACTGGCGACTGGCCCTATTCAGGTAGGTAGTTACCTGGGTTCCAGTGGGAAGTCGTGACCAGTAAGGTGCAGCGGGTCGGGTGTAAGGACAAATACTCACCGAAGACATTGGCTAGAGGTCGCGCTATGTCGTGAATTGGCAGAAGTTAGAATTCCAGGACTATCGGATAGTGTCCCAGTGGCTTAATGGTATACGAGATCGCCTTTTAACCTGAAGGTCCTGGGACCGAATCCCGGTGGGTGCGTACTGTGAAGAGCCCCAAACTAGGACGAAACAACTGTCCGGTATTCCCAGGTTTTCCAATGGTTCTCTAACTAATTTCAGCTCATGATGAAATCCTGAAATAATCACTTTAACACACACATACATATACACACAAACACACGTATAATCTTATTATTTATTATCTCTTTATTCCAGGAATCAACTCGACGTGATGTAGTCCTTATCCCAATGGGACAAAGTTTAGATTATCAACATGAAGGGAATGAAAGACTATCCATTGAAAACTATATCAATGGGATGAAAGTATTCGCTGCATACTTTTATGAATTAGCTGTAATTGAAACAGAGAATAGTGAAGATGAAGAGATTAGACAAACGGCAAGAGATCAGTGGAGAGCTAAAATGTTATGAAAGCAAAATAAAACAAACAGAGCCAGAAGAAAAACATCTGTTGTGTGAAGTAAAACGAGCACACAAAAGATGAAATGTAGGCAAAGATCGATATATACAACACAAACAGAAATTATTATTATTTTACATTTATGTAAAAATAGAAAATAATTGAATAAAATTTTATGAAATGCTCTAAGAATTATTTATCCTTAAACCGACATATATATATATACATATATCATTCCCTTGCGTGGCTCACCAGTAGAATTGCTCTGCGATCACAACTCATGTGCTCTGAGGTTCAGTCCCTGACTGAATCACTCTTAAATCTCATTTATCTGGTAGTAAATTTTGGTAAAGGAGGAAGATTCGGTCTGAGGCTAGTAACCCCCACCCCGTAATAGGGAATATAACACCACTGATACTGTGCGACTTCATAGTTAAAGCTCAAAGATCTGTGTTCCACCTGGACGCAATGGAAACTCAACCACTGTAAACGTTTGTGTTCTCATCATCAGCATGAACGCCAAACATACAATTACGTGAATTTAAACTATGTACTCAAAAGAGCTTTGTTATAACACCTCTTTCTTAACTTTAGTCTACATCAGTGGTCTTTCTGTTTGCTTTCATTCCCCTTCATTTTGTTTGTCTTCACGGTCAATATTGTTTTCATCAGGCTTAACTCTAATATACCTACATTACTTTACAAATAAAAATTCGAATATAAGCCAATCATGGTGTTTTGTCTATGATTATTATCATTATATCCTTTAGTTCCTAGAGGAACACAAGGCTTCAGCCAAACGTCTCCATTGCCTTCGGTTTCCTGCCAATTTTTCCACCCTGCTCCAAGTCTGCTCACATGCTTTCATCTCCTCTTCACATGACCAAGTCACCCTTGCACCGACGACCAACTCGCCGCTTCCCTTTCGGGTTCCACTCGAGCAATGGCTTGTCTAGTGATGTCACTCGATGGTTTCCTAAGAGTATAGGGCCAATCCATCTTCATTCCTTCCTGCCTATTTGTTTCCCAATGGGTTCCTGGTTGGATGGTTCGCTCCCAGAGATCCCTCCCTGTTGCTGATCTTTTCTGGCCGGTCATCTCATCTTGAGTATTCAGCGAAGACAACTGTTAATGAAGGTCTGAAGTTTGTCTGAGATGCTCTTTATGACGTGCCAGGTCTCTGATCCGTATTGTAGCACTGACTGACTTCGCACTGAAGTTGAAGATCCGGATCTTATATTTAATGCTGAGTGCTGTTGACCTCCACACAGACTTAAGAGTAATGAAAGCTTGTCTTGCTTTCCCGATCCTCGCTGCTTTGATATCCTCGTCAGTTCCGTCCGCCTATAGTTGAAACGATGCTTCCCAGGTGGGTCGGTAGGTGAAGGAGGTTGTTTCTTTCAGGTTCCTCCCATTTATGCTGACTGATTGTTGTCTGTTGTTGTTGCTGTTGCCGTTGGCAAGGAATCTTCATCACCTCTGTTTTCTCTTTGTTCACCTGAAGTCGTTCCCATCTTTGATGATTCTTCTACCAACTTGTTGCTTTCACTTGCATATCTTCCAGTTTGTGGGAAATCAGACATATGTCATCATCGGCGAAGTCCAGATCCTCCAAGTTATTGTGTGGGTCAATTTTGTGCCTGTTTCCTTATTGCCTGTTGTCTGTCGCATTATCCAATCTACTGCAATCAGGAAGATCATTGGCGATAGTAGACAGCCTTGTCTCACTCCCGTCCTCACTTCGAAGACTTCTGTATTTTTCCCCATTGTGGATTACTTGTCACGCAGCATTGTCGTATAACTGCTGGATGAGATGTATAATTGTCGATGGCACCCAGTAGTAGCGAAGTCGTTGCCAAATGACAAATGTTTTGCCTATAGGACAATAAAATGGTAAATATAAATTGTGTAATTAGTCATAATAGTAAAAGTAATAATAATAATGGTTTTATCAATAATGAGGATGAAAAAGTGAGGCAATCTGTGGTAACACGAATGATGAAAAAACAGCATGATTAAACAAACAAATGTTCAGGTGGAAGCAGTGGTCGATAAAGGCTAAGAAAAACAAATGAACCGATTAAGTAATGCTATATTCTAAGGGAAGTAAACGAAACACGTTTTTAATGAAGATGTGATAAGATTAAGGGATGATAAGAAAGGGGTTGAAAATATAAACAAGGGGCGGTGTAGAAGTCATCAGTTGGTTATGTCTCAATACGCCAGCGAGGGAGGTATAATGGCTGTACGAACTTCTTTTGAATGCATAGTTGAGGTTTAATAGTTCGAATGCCTATCGCCTCAGCTCTGTTCGTGCAGTAGACGAATACGAAGTCTACCGGAAAGATTCGGTGGGATACGATGAATTACTTTGAAACCTCTCGTTTTCTCGACTACATGACCACTGTCAACTAAATGTGACATAGTTGATCTACAGATTACTTTTGTCTGTTTTTATTTGTGCCACCACCTGTAGTTGAAACGATAGGGTCTGTTTAGATAAGTGGTAGAGGCAACTTCCTGTAAAGATTGGTAAATATTGACAAGGGTTGTGTAATATGAAATATCAGTTCAATGGAGACACGTTTACAAAACATAAATTATGTAATAGGTAGAAAGAGTGAATGAAGCATTAGTTAGTTAAGAAGAAGATATTACTCAGATATCATAGAAAATTCAAAAACAAAACATTATTAACAGAGTCGTAGAACTTTTAAAATTTATACGCACTGTTGAAGGATGGGGTGGAGAAGATTCTTCTGTGAGCATAAATCAGGGTTTTCTATCCGGATTGCTACTGCCTAGGCTATGCAAAGTATACTGTCCGTCTGTTTTCAACATAGAACTTTGCACTGATGTGCAGCAGTTCAAGTAGCCACACTTCACTCAAGAGACAAAGCAAGATAAGAAGTACAAAACAGAGACAGTAGACACGGATATGACACAAAAAGAATAGTAATAACGAAGAAAAATATAGTTTCATTTGAAATTACAAGTCACAAGGAGTGAGTGCATACAGTTTTGCACCAACCACTGAGAACGATTTCCAGCCTTATCACCAATTGCCTCTAGCCATTGATTTTTAATAATAATAATTATTATTATTATTATCACTTTATTCCACAACAATAACAATTTACAGCATGGAATTTTCAGCGTTTCTTTTACATATTGCAATGGTTTAGCTCTGTTTATAATTATATTAAAGTATAAAATGTTAAAATATTGATAGTTAATAGGAAAAAATAAAACCCCAACAAAATCACACCATTTCTAGGTCATAGTGAATAATAAATAAATAATATAACACATGCATAATAATATTCATCATTACATTTTATAGTTTAGTTATTGATTCAAAAGTTGTAAAAGTTCTTTTCTGATATTTATCTCTTCACACAATACTCGTGCCAAATATGGAACGGTAGAATTTTTATATTTTGTAGTACGAGCATAAATGTTTATAAAATTTCTTCTGGTCTTACCCGAAGAGATACAAGGAAACAATTGTGAATAAAGAGGATGTTCACTATCAGATAAGATAACTTTAGCTAAGTGTTTACGAGAATTCATATGCCTATTGACAACAGTGTCATTTAGTTGAGTCAAAGAAATAGCACTGACCCTACTTACAGCCCTCAATGTTCTTCGTAGTATTATATGGTCTTTCTTGAGTAGCCCAGGGAAGAATGATGGGCAAAACACATGAATTAATAAATTGTATGATAAGAGATTGAGTTATACCTGAGTGCCTCAACTTCTTTATGTAATAAGTCAGACGGAAAACTTTCTTAGAAACTATAAGAATATGAGACGACCAGAAAAAGTTTGAAGAGAAACTAATGCCAAGATAAGAAACACTTGACTTACTCTCTATCATGGTACCATCAATATTACAACAATCATGAGATTGGATCAATCCATGCATGTCTTTTTCACTTCTCAAGCTGAAATCAACAGTGTTACATTTAGTTGGATTTAGTTTAAGACCATTTGAGCCAGACCAATCCTTAACTTCAGCTAAGAAGCCATTCATATGGGAACAATCCGATGTGGAAACTACAGGGACAGAAACAGTCAGATCATCAGCATACTTAATGAAGTTAACTTTGGGTGAGATCGGAAGGTCCCAAAGACCCCAACCAGGAAGTGGATTTCACTGACTGAAGCCATGTTTCAGTTTGACCCACCAATGGCTATTTGCCATCCTCATCCTATGCCAGTCAGGTAACATTACCCGTCGAAGAAGGCGGTGGGTAGACATACGCAACACATATCCTAACCCTCTTAGTCTATGTAGCTCGACTGACGCCTAACCTCAATATTACTTATCGTAACATACCACTTCACATGGGAGATAGAATGCAGACACCTAAGATCTACTTTCAATGACCATGTCTCACAGCCACACATATAGGAGGGCGGAGAGGACTGCTGAGCAGTAACACACGCCCTTTGCTCGATAACCCCCCGGATATCAAGTCTACGCCACAGACGGCGTAAACTGGCACATGCGAAACTAGGCCTCTGTATCCGTTCTGAGATTTCGTCAGTTGATGCAACTTCCCAATTAAGTGAGGCGGTCAGCACGCTCCCTCAACCACTTCACTCCCTATTTCTGAGCTAGCTGTCAATGTAGTCCAGCCCATTCCTGTTGCATCATCTTACATTTGGAGGGAGCGAATCGCATGCCAAACGTAAGCAGATGTCAACTCAAGGTATTCAGAAGACTTTGCACTTTGTCAACATCCTCAATTAGAAAAACAATATCATCTCCATATTCCAAGTCAACGAGATCATTCCCTGGTATCAAGCCAATCAATCACTGAGTCTATGAAGTCAGCAATTAGGGTTAAATCCATTAGTACATCTTCGATGAAATTGAATAGAAACGGGGATAGTAAGCATCCCTGTCGGACACCACTAGTTGTCACCACTTCAGATGACAACTCGCCATAAGCTCTCACCTGACTCTCTACATGAGTTCGAGTAGAGTTCCTTGATCAGTACAATATGTTTTCTTGGCATTTCCTTTACGGCCAAGCATCGCCAGAGTACCACTCGGTCAACAGAATCCAATGGTGCCTTTAGGTCAAGAAATATTACGATTGTTTGTGCCTCCCGAGCACCACTTAGTCTACGCATGATTATTGAACCTAGAATTTTAGATACCATTATTAGTCAAGCTAATCCCTCTGTGATTATCACAGGAAGATTTGTCTCCCTTCTTCTTGTGTATCGGGCTAATTATTGACTTAGACCAACTCGACGGGACTTCTTCTGATTCCCAGACGCTTACTACTACTTTAGTTAACACAGACAGGAAACTGTCTACCGTACTTAAATACCTCTGGAATCATTCCATCTGGTCCTGCTGCTTTGCCTCGTTTCAGACTAGTGACTGCTTTAGTAACTTCAGTTAGGGACAGAGGACCTGTGTCTATATCCCATTCAGGGAATTGCTGCATGTTCAGTAAGAAGAGTGTGGCTGTAGGCCGATTAATCTGCTTCTTAGTGTTCTTTTCAACGTTCCATTCGTCTATCCTGAGAGCTAATTATGGTGCCATTTTTCTCAGAGACTTTCACTAATCGTTTACCTTTCATCACCTGTTTCCCTGATAAGTATAAATAGTTGTCTGGTGTTACCGATCGCCGCTGTCTTTTCCATCTCATTCGCTTTGGTTGCCCACCACTGTTCACAGCCGTTCTGAGGGCTTCTTGTTAGTTTGCGTTTCAGTAGCTTTCGATCCTCATCATAATCGGAGCTCGCCGGTCAATCAGTTCGGATGAGGCAATAGAGATCCAATGGCTCTTACTAACTTTTGGTTTTAGCTTATTAACAGCTTTTACAGCTAACTGTATGTTGTACCAGCCTACCTCAGGGGAAGTCCTGCTATCGACCTCAGATACACTTTTTGCTATTTCCTCCTTAAAAAGGGACTCAGAGTCTCCATCCAGTTGGGGACGTAACTGTTTCGCTGCCAACAATTTATGTCCGTTTACCCGTGGACACAAATGTGCGCGGACCACAACGTGATCAGAGTCTACACTCGTGTTTCAAAAGGAGCCACAGTCTTCTACTGACCCTCGCCAACGATACCCTATCACCATGTGGTCTATCTCAGTCCAGCGTTGACTTCGTGATGGAGGTCGCCAGGTTACGCACTGTCTCTATGTGCCCGAAGTTAGTGCTGACTAGCAACAGATGACTAGCTGAGCAGAACTGTGGGAGACGATCACCTTTGTCGGCTTATCAAGAAATGACCTTGGCGGCCTGTTCAAATTTTTGGGCCAGCTACTATAATATCTACATTTTACATCCAGTCTACTGTTTACCAACATTTATTTATCACCTAAACTTGAATTCTAACAGGATCATTTACTCTCGTAACTTTATCAATCATCTACGACTAAATGACTTTCATATTCCGAAGAAACCAAGGAGGGAAACATCGTAGTGGTTGGCAGAGAGCTCTCAAACGTACACCAATACACTTAACTACGGTCCCCGTCATAATGAACACAAACTGCCGCTCTCTGCCAAACAGGATAATGTACCTACAATCCCTGATGTCAACTGATACTTATCATAACACTGCCATAATCACATTACAAGAAACGTGGTTGCATGAACTGTATGATGACAACCTTATCTCACTAAAGGACTTTATTTTATTTCGTCAATGTCGTAATAAGAAAAATGGTGGTGGCGTTGCAACTTTTATTCACTCCAAATGGTCTGTCTCAAATAATATCTGCTTCACCTTCTCAAATGACTTCATTGACTGTATTACTGTCAAATGTCGCCCCAAACATCTCCCCAAATATAAACAATTCTATATTACAAACATGTACATTTCTCCTAGTTGCTCTCCATCTGATCTATCTAATTTTGCTGATGAATTCACCATGTTTGCTGCTGCCAACTTCGACAACTCTCTATCCGTTATTACTGGAGACTTCAACACATCAGATTGCTCCTTTCTTGAAGCTCTTGGTCACACAATAGTCAAATTTCCCACTCGACTTGACAAAACACTCGATCTAGTTTTTACTAATGACGAAGGAGTATATGAAACACGTAGACGTTCACCGATACATAACTCCGATCACTGCATTGTCCGCGTTTTGCCAAAAATATACAGCAAAACACATATTAAAATCTTCTCACACCTGTCTACGAAAGCACAAGAAAGATGCTACACATCTGACAACTTACTCAATCTAAGATGCATGTTAAAAGATACCAACTGGGATCTATTCTATGAAAGTACATTAGATGACTCAATCACCAATATAATGGATTATCTTAAGTTCTGCCTCGACATATGCTGTCCCAAACAAACACTGTTCAAACGCCTCGACCGTTTCTCGTCTCCCCGTCTCAAACAACTTCGCAGGCAAAAAGAAATGTTATATAAATGCAAAGACAAGTTAGGACTTAAAAAGATTAATGCTCAAATCAAATCTGAAATCAAAAATCTTAATGCTATCTATAACCAAACACTTTTATCATGCAAATCTCCTAACAGCATGTGGAAACTTTTCAATGAAATTACTGGCAAAAGTAAGCGATGTAATGTTTTTCCCTCTTGTGATGTTAATGCTCTTAATCTGTTTTTTACGCTCTCCTTCTACTATAACCACTTCTAACGTTACTAATCTTGTAGCTGATAACTTCCAGGACTTTACCACTCTCGATGTTTTGAAATGTCTTAAAACTCTTAAGCCCTCACATAGTCTTGGCCCTGATAGCATACCTGCATATGTTCTAAAACAATGTGCAGATGCTTTATGTTTTCCTCTAACTAATATCCTAAATGCTTCTTTCTCCGAAAACGTTGTACCTGTTCCATGGAAAGACATTAAAATAGTCCCTGTCCCTAAACCTGGAAATAGCAAGAACGTAAAGTTCAGACCCATTGCCATCACTTCCCCGTTTCTAAAGCTCATGGAAAAACTAGTACTTCTTAAACTCGAACCCTCCCTTAAAAGCTTCGAAGACCCCAAACAATTTGCCTACAGACAGGGTAGGAGTACTTTAGACGCTGCAGCCGTCTTACACAACAGTATTGTCTCATCATTAGACAAAGGTGCCAAATATGTCCGCTGCACGTTTCTTGACTTCACTTCTGCTTTCGACTCTGTACCTAGATGTCTCTTGCTAAATAAGCTCTCCATGACACAAACCGAGTCCTGGGTCACTAACTGGTTGCATTCCTACTTTTCAAACAGAATGCAGTACACCGTATACAAAGGTAAATCCTCCTCTGCTGTGCTCACTGAAGCTGGTGTCCCCCAAGGTGCTGTACTCTCCCCACTTCTCTTTTCTTTCTTTCTACATGACCTACCATCTTCAAATGACATTAACTTTGTCAAATATGCTGATGACCTAACTGTATCTTTACCTGTCAAATGTCAAAGTGACTGCTCTAAACTAAATGGCTTTTTATCAGAAATCAGCCAATGGTCCAAGGAAAACGGTCTAACCTTAAACCCCTCCAAATGCCAAACAGTTAATTTCACCTTTAGGCATAAATCTGACCTAAACAAACTGGTTAGCACTCACGAGGTGTGCAACATAGATGGCACTGAAATAGAAACCAAGTCGGAAATTAAATACCTAGGCGTCATTCTATTTTCTGATCTTTCCTGGTCGTCTCATATCTTGACGATTTTCAAGAAAATATTCCGTCTTACCTTCTACATCAAGAAGTTAAGACATTCTGGTAAAACCCAACCCTTACTCCTACAATTTGTTAACTCTTGCATTCTGCCTATTATTCTCTATTGTTCCCCCTTAGTTTTTCCTGGGCTACTGAAGAAAGACTATACCTTATTACGTAGGATGTTAAAGGTTGTCAGCAGGGTAAGCAACTTGCCACTTAACCGGCTTGTTAATATTCTGGTAGACAGACACATGGACTCATGTGAAAACTGGGCAAAATCCATTTTATCTGACTCACAACACCTTCTACATTCAAAACTCTCCCCACGTATCTCTTCAGGAAAAACCAGAAGTCTATATAGGAAACTATACGCTCGCACTAGCAAGTACAAAAACTCAACCATACCATGCGATAAAGAAAGCATTGGGCGTGATACCTATAACTTGTTAAATAGTCAATAGAACAACTGGATCTCGTCTTTTCAACTCATATCATTTATAAGTACAACGTTTTCTTTCTCTCTTGTCCTTTTTTCTCTCTTTTTTCCTCTGTTATGTGCTGCTTTGTTTCTCCCTTCCTTACAAACTCTATTTAAAACATTCTTCTTCGTTCTTTCACACTCTGTATATGTCGACCATTTCGTTACCACTTACGCCAGTAAATATGCTACCATCTACTTTTCTAACACCTTCAAACAGTCTGTTCAATTTTGGCTTTGCTACCGTCATGCCAATATGTTGTTGTCAAAACTAAGATAACCTTAATCTATGTAGAATCTTATTTATTGTTAATGTACTAACTGGATGCAATATTGTATTAAAGTGCTGAGAATTCCATTCTGTATCACAAGTACTGTTTTGTAATAAAGCTATTATCTTATCTTATCAGATATTTGTGAGGTTCACTGAGCACTCAGTATTTATTGCTATTATACTAATGTTAGGAGTGAGATACTCTATTCTAATAACAAGACCTTAACAGATATTTTCCTTACAGTGCAATGTTTATAGCTTTATCTACGAAGCGCAGAATTTTCACGCTAGAGAATATATGACAACTAGCTATGACCATTGCATATACCACCATAACCGACCTGCACATCATTAGCCGTCGATAGCCTATATAACAAGTCGAGCAGTATAACACGCACTTTTTAATCAGATTTATAATTTTTTTGGACCAATTAAAATTTGAATTTCCCCATAAAACAATGACTATACACATACACATGTGATGTATCTATTATAATAAAGAGTAGTAATGATTTTTGCAAATATAAACAACATTATTTATTGGTTGAGGCTATTTTACAGAGCTCCATCTCGTTTCAGTTAGACTACTCAAACACAAATGACTCGATCGTAAATATACAATTCATACATACATACACACGCACACACACAGAAAATAGGTGTCCACGATAACCATCAGTGTAATTAGTAGTTTCTATCAGCAGAATACATGCGGCACTGGTGGGCAAAAGAGAGATTATCACAGATTTACTGAGAGATAGAGAAAGGGAGGGAGAGTGGGTAGGTGGCAAAGGCTATATACAGTGTCATTTACGTAATACATACAGGGATCAATAGTGTGGTAGCAGTAATAACACATATAAAAACACTATAATAGACTAGCAAAATAATGAACTACAATAATAATAATAATAATTTTTTGATTACAGCCTGATTCCACACCGTATTTTTGGTACAGGTATGGAATTTCCAGCGTGGACATCGGTAGCCCGAAATTCGCAGGCCGACCATAGATATCAGGTGTGCGTCGGCGTGGACTCGAACCTCGGACCATGTGCATGGTCGGCGAGAGTCCTAACCACTGTGCCACCGACGCACTAGTAAGGTATAAAAAGGCATTCTACAGATCAGGAGTTAATGATGGACTCGGGAAGAATGATACACGATATTTTGGCCATAAGTGACGTACAACACTGGCATCAGTTATCTCATCTGGAGAAGATGGTGATGTTGATAACTGACAGTGTTCATTTTCTGTATCTGAGGATTTTTTATCTAAATCATAAGTTTCATTCAAACAACGCGATGGTTGGGATTTCTTTTTTTGTTGTTGGTGTTGTGGTGGTGGAGATAAATTCAACTGTAATGCACGAGTTTTTCGTTTAGGACGAAGAATTCTCGGAACATCGGAGGGCGGAGCCATAACTGTTGAACTTTTTAATGATAATCCTAAATCCTCATTGTCTTCATCAAGGCCAGTAGTAGGTGTCGTTGTCGGTGGTGGTGTTGAACGATTTTGACATATGCCAGGAAGACAATGACAATTCGCTGGAGTACATAAACGACCAGAACGTTTACAACTACAGCGTGACTGACAATTTCCACGACATTTACATCGACGTTGTTGTGAGTCATCATTGACAGTTGGCTAGAAGATATGTATAATAAACAGACAAACAAAGAAACAAAATAGAGAAAGGTTTTTTCACATAATATAAACATTTCACGTGTTTAAAAGATAGGAGTAAATTCAACCAGTTTACTTTAAGATAACTAAGCCTATATTTTATACATATAAGCGCTGGGTCAATGGTAGAAAAGCTGTCTATTCTCACACGGGAGGTGTGCAATTTATTTCCAGACGATGTAATCCGAAACCTTACCTACATTTACTAACCCGTTGAGAGAGACTCAAAAGACACAGAATACAGAGGTAGGTGGTAACTAGAGACGCAGTAACTAAACAAACGGCTAGACACATTACACTGGTTACTAACTAGCGTCTAATCAAAAGTATCTGACACAGTCCTACTGGAGGTCAATCGTGGCTAGTAACTTCTCTAATATCGGTTCGAATCTCAGAGGGGATGTTAGTCCCCTCAAAAGTGCTGATACACCTTGCTGACTGGAGAGTGACAACTAGAGCGAAACCTAGGTCAGACAAGGCTTCCTGTGGCCGATTGCCTCCAACCATCTAATACATCAACAATTCACAGTGAAGTGCGTCGTGATGGTGAGCCATCTAGAATGGTGGCCACATTGTAAACTTATTATCATTATTATTGCTTCTTTTAGTTCCTAGAGGAACATGGGGCCTCAGCCGCGAATCTCCATTCCGTTTGCTTCTCCTACAACGTCTTCACATGGCCTGACGTCTGCCCACATGCCTTCGTCTCCCCAGCGCATGACCTCCTGTAAGTCACCCTCACACTGACGACTCACCGCTTCCCATTCATCCCTTACTCGAGCGATGGCCCAGAGTGTGATGTCACTCACTTGACGGTTTGCTTTCTCAGAGTATGGCCACTCCAATCTACCTACATTTATTTTTGCATAGTTGTTGCACAATCGATTCCTGCCGGGTTGGTTCGCTCCCAGAGATCCCTACCTGTTGCTGATCTTTTCTGGCCGGACATAAAATCTTGAGTATTGAGAGAAGACAGTTGTTGATGAAGATCTGTAGTTTGTTCGAAGTGCCCTTCGTGACGCGCAGTACAAGTCTCTGATGTGTATAGTAAGTAGCACTGACTCCACATTGGAGTTGAAAATCCGGATCTTACTTTACATGCTGAGTGGTGCTGACCCCAACACAGACTTGGTGTACTGAAAGAGTCGCATTACATGCACTCACAACGTGATATCGTATTCCTATTTCAAAAATGACACATTGTATACACAAGGTAACTTGATTGGTTCCAAAACATAACTTTACACGGATGTGCAGCAGTTCAACTTGCCACTCTCGCTTCATGTAACACATAAAGCCAAAGAAAAGAGTACAGAGAGATTCAAAACAGAGAGAACAAACACAAGTGTAAGTATGCGAAAAGACAGTTTTACTGGAGGATATGACAAATCACAGAGGGTGAACGCATCTGCGCCAGCCATCACCGAAAACTATTTCCAGCCATATCACCAATTGTCTCCAGTCTTCATTGGTTCTTACCATCCCGACCAGTCTACACATACCTACGTGCTTGGCTGGCTGACTGTCTCAAACTAACTTTAACGGATTTCATTGCTTGATGAAGCCATCTTTTGGTTTGACCACCTCATACTAGCTCTCTTCCAACCTCATCGATCCTATATCAGTTAACAATAACCGTGGAGAAAGGCGATGGCTAGACATGCCTAACACATGTCACAACTATCTCAGTCGTTGTCGCTCTACAACCTCGTCGTTTGACTACCCTTCCAACTCACCTAACACTCGAAAATAGCCTAATACCTCAATATTGCCCCCCAACCCTATTATACGACTTCACACGAGATCGAACCCAGACACTATGATCCCTAAAGACAACTAACTAGCCAATCTTTTCACGTCTAGCTGAACGTAGATTTAGTTAAAATCCTGCTCAACCAGTTAAACAAACTGTATCAAAATAACGATCAAGTATAATACAAGTCTATCTTTTCAGAGTTCTTAATATATTTATTCGTTGAAATTTCTGTAGCAATTTGGTTGTTTTACGGGGGTGGAGTTGCTAGCACCACGCCCCAACCCTCCGCCCCATATCCGGGGCTTGGGATCGGCTAGAAAACTAGCAAGCTAGTAGCCTAGCAAGCTAGTAATCTGGCGAGGAAAGAACCATCAACAAGGAACTATGGGGAAGAGACAAAACAAGAACCAATCGCCCAACAAATATGCAGGAGAAAGTGGAGATGGATCGGACACTCTTTGAGGAGACGGTGGGTGATATGGCGCGTCAAGCCCTCGAGTGGAACCCTAACGGGAAGCGGCGAGTGGGACGTCAGTGGAAGGGTGTCATGGAGGAGATCGTGTGAAGAGGAGTTGAAAAGGAGTATGGACTAACATGGATTCAGGTGAAAAGTACAGCAGAAGACAGAAGTGGCAAGTGGGGATGTACAGTTGAAGCCCTATGTTCCATTAGGAACCCAAGGGAGCAATAATAATAAAATACAAGCCTAAGGGACACCTATATGTGTGTGTGTTAACACATACACATATACTACTACTTACATTACTGTTCTCTTCTTCTTCTTCTCCTTTGAAATGAAGATTCTCTTCACTTTCAGATTTTTTAACTTTACTATCAGGTTCATCTGTATCCGTCGCATTACAACTGATATGTGAACGTTTATTAATAAATGTAGGCGATATATTACGGTCATTGTTCGTTATGCATCCATTAGAATTTTCACCATCATCATCATTATTATTATTGGATGGCAAAATGAATGTCTCATTATTATTATGATTCTGCCGAAGTACTGGTGTACCAGCCTGTCGAGAATTTAACATTTCACGCTGAAAAACAAAATAAAAGTGAGGAATTTAGTTCAAAAACAATAACAATTGTCATCATCTTTGGTACTATAAATTAATACAGAACAAGAGAGAGTACATGAATTACTAAGAAAGAAGACAAATCGTTGAGTTAAATTCCATTGGGTAAGCGATACGATGGAGTTGGCAGTCCGGCAGTGACAAGGTAAAGATCATGAGATGACGAGATTTAGAAGGAGAAAATGGCAGCAGTGCTGGTCAGCAGTCGTAGAGCAACTAGGTAAAATTGATGACAGGGAATCTAGTATGATAAAGATGTACTGCTGATGCTCTATATGTCCCATCGGGTTGGTGTAAGTCACTGATTATCCCCATATACAAGAAGGGAGACAAGTCTTCCTGTGATAATCACAGAGGGATTAGCTTGACTAATATAATATCTAAAGTCTTAGGCTCAATAATCATGCGTAGACTGAGTGGTGCTCGGGAAGCACAAACACGAGAGAGTCAGGCAGGCTTTAGACCAGGAAGAGGGTGTATTGATCATATCTTCACCCTCCAACAGATTCTAGAACATAGGAATTCCTACCGGCGTTCAACAGTCATTATATTTCTTGACCTAAAGGCAGCATTCGACTCTGTCGATCGGGAAGTTCTCTGGTGATGCTTGGCTGTAAAGGGAATTCCAAGAAAATATATTGCACTGATTAAGGCACTCTACTCGTACTCATACAGCCAGGTGAGGGCTTACGGCGAGCTGTCATCTGAACTGATGACGACCAGTGGTGTCCGTCAAGGATGCCCATTATCTCCTTTTCTATTCAACTTCATCATAGATGTGTTAATGGACTTAACCCTAAGTGACTTCAGCGACTCAGGGATTGACTTGCTACCGGGGAATAATCTCGTTGACTTGGAATATGCAGACGATATAGTCCTTCTAGGCGAAGACGCTGACGAAATGCAGAGTCTTCTAAACACCTTGAGCCGCAATCTACGAATGTTTGGCATGCGATTCGCTCCCACCAAATGCAAGATGATGTTACAGGACTAGACTACATCGACGCCTAGTTTAAAAATAGGAAGTGAAGTGGTAGAGCACGTTGACCGCTTCACTTATTTGGGAAGTACCATCAGCCCCAACGGGCTGATCTCTGACGAAATCTCAGCACGAATACAAGGGGCTCGTTTCGCATTTGTTAGTTTACGCCGACTCTGGCGTAGACGAGATGTTCGACTATCGACCAAAGGGCGGGTGTACTGCTCATCAGTCCGCTCCGTCCTCCTTTATGGCTGTGAGTGGAACATGGCCACTGAGAGTGGAAGACATGAAAAGACTAGCTGTCTTTGATCATAGGTGCCAGCGCTCTATCTCCCGTGTAAAGTGGTATAATAAGGTGAGCAATATTGAGGTGAGGCCTCGGTCGAGTTCTAGGTAAACAGGGGAAATCAATCGACGAAGTCGTGAAGTTACAAAGACTGAGATGGTTAGGACATGTGTTACATATGCCAAGCCATCGCCTCCCTCGACGAGCAATGTTAGCGGATATAGGGTCAGGCTGGAAAAAAGCTAGCGGCGGTCAAACAAAAACTTGGCATCAGTCAATGAAATCCACAACAGTTGGTCTTAGCCACGTAGGAAGGTGTAGACTTCCAGGCTGGGGTCCTCGGGACGGTAAAAATCTATGGTTGGAAACAATTGGTGACATGGCTCAAAACCGTTCTCAGTGGTGCAGATGCATCCACTCCCTGTGACTTATGATCTTCAATGAAATTGTTTTGTTCTTCGTTATTACTCATCCTTTGTCTCACACCTCTGCTCACTGTTTCTATTATGCTTTTCTTGTACTTTCTTCTCTTGCTTCGCGTGCTACACGGAATGTGGCGACTTGAACTTCCGCACATTTGTGCAAAGTTCTATGTCGAAAACAGACAGACTTTATGTTTCACCTTCAATATTACTGAGTTAGTATACAACAACTTTAATTATAAAATAAGCTGAACATATTGGTGTTAGACAACCGGCATGCAACCGAGGATATAAGCTTTGCGCTTGTTGGCACTGCTTTCAACCGAGATATATCTGTAACATGATACTCCTCCCCCCCCCCATACTCCCCGAAGACTCCAATACACGTCTCACCCGCCAGTCACTGAGATTGCGTTATAGAGGTCTAATTAATTAGGCTAACGACAGACTAAGTGAATTCAGACAGCACCAACACCGTAGACCAGACACATACACACACGCACACAAATGATACTGGTTACCGTCTATAGAGAACAATCCAATCGACATTCAAAAAGAAACATTGGACATTAAAAATGTTTACAGACAAACAGAGCTTACCAATTGTAAATTCATTTCTGCTAAGTCTTCACGTTGAATAGCAATTAATTCACGTAATTCAGCATTTTCTTTTTGTAATTTTTCTAAGTATTTACTAGTCACTTGACAATGCGACTTGACATCTTCAACCTGTATATAAATAACACATACACACAAAGACAAAGGAGAAATTACAAGTTACTGATCTCTCTCTCTCTCTCTCTCCGTGAAAAATGCATAGATCGTTAATAATTCACACACAGTAAGACATGAAACAGACTTAAGGAAAGAAAATTCACTTTTCGACGGTTTTATTTTCCTAGCTGTACACAATCGTCATCCAGAAAGTAGGTAAGCACCCTCGTCAAGATCAATCATTGCACTTGGTGAAAATTTTACAGCATGTTCGCTATTGACGATTGTGATTCTTGACCTAATCTGATAACGTCTCGAGCCACTAATTTAAACTATTTCTCGGACCCCATCCAGAGAGTTGTAATGGCAGCAACTGGCGCTAAACTAACACAAATATCTTTCATCATCACACGACGCCACATCATAGGCTAACCAACTCAAAGCTTTTCCCATCTAGTCACAGGGATAGCGAACAAAGACTGGGGGTAAGAATGGCTCTGGGATGACACATTTGTAGCACATCTTCAAACTACTGAAGATGATAATTCCAGACGACGAAACTCAATAAATGGTAACTGCGTCTATGTCCAAACACATGCTACTAAACCTCAGAATAACTCACACGATGATACCATCGAACGCAAGCAATTCTGGGGAGACGGTAATGATTAAATACGCAACGTTACCGCACATCTTCAGACAAGTTTCACCGAAGCATTGCAAACCCGACCTACGAGAAACAGGCCCAATTGGTGTATGCTACCCCAGCTTTCACTAAACACTTAGAGATCTCGTCCATCACACATACCTCCCCAGCCAGCATTAACATAATATTTATGCTAGCCTGGTGAGGGGGCGGTTGCTTCAACAACATCAACTGATGCATGAAAGTAAATAACACAACCTTAAAACCCTACAATTTTAATCGCCTTTTTTACGTTTGAAAAATCTTGATTCAAAAACATATTTTTCCCGTAGGATAAAATAGTGGAGGTTCATAATTATATAACTGTGGTGCGCAGTAACTCATCAAAGAAGACACTTAAAAGCGGTTATGCCATATCGTGAATTGGAAGAAGTTATAATTCACGGGCTGGCCATTGGATCGGGTCCGAGAGTGGCTGAGTGGTCTACAAGCTCGCTAGCCTTGTAACCACAAGGTCCTGGGTTCGAACTCCTGACCTAGGGTGTGCACTGCTGAACGGTCCCAGACTAGAATGAAACACCTGTCCAGTACTCCATGCAGGTTTCCCAATTGTTCTCTAAATGATGTCGGCTCATGATGAAATCCTCCAACCGATCAAACACAATGTCTACGAACCAATACTTGAACAATATCATCATCTTCATCAATGTAAATAAGGTGCAGCAGTTAACGTTCAGAATTTATTTGCACTGTATACTATTGAATATAAAATAATAAAATATACTAAATAGCTCCTCGCAACTTCAGCGAAACAGGAGGCAAGTAAAATTGACTGGAACCAAGTTCCAACAAAGAACCTCTCGCACAGAAGTGCATTACTTCAAGTTGGCAAACAAAGGTAGAGAACTTTGATGTGCACAAAATATAGCAGAGAGAGAATAGAATAACACGGAAAGATAAAACAAACAGTGATTACACCTGCTCCAGAGTGGCAATGATTTTGATACATGCCACACCAATTGTCTCCAGGAGATGGTTGGCAGCATCCCGACGATGACCCTAATCAGGCAGTTTGGTTGCCTGAAACCAATCGTCAAAGACTTCATGGACTAATCTCAGGCTTTTTGGTTTGCCCAACCCTCACACTTTCTCCCAACCTTACGTTGCTCATCGAGGAAACATCGAGAGCATTCATTCAATAGCTGTTACACTTTAATTTCAGACCTTCTCCCCCACCCACTTATCGCCACAGTTCGCATTCATGAATATCACCATGTATTAAATTTAGGACCTTTAGGCGATTACGTGACAAGAAAGTTACCAGAATTCAGTCACTGGATACAAACTACCAGTGTGTACTACTGAGAGACAGTAATAAATTGAAATGAAACAGCTTTCCAATAATTCTGGGTTACCTAGCTGTCTATCAGCAGATCTCCTGAAATAAATCAAATTCCCTGCCAATCTGTCAAAAACCTTTAGTTTAAAACAAAGAAAAACATGTAGAAATTTCACTTACATAATCCTCCGTATTTAAATAACCGTTAGCTTTATTGATTAAAGGTGGAGGGCGAGAATCCTAGAAAAGGAGAAAACCAATTCGAATATTAAAATATATTATCATTCTAATAGGATATAATTAACAGAAATATCCACATGCATATTTCGTTCTTGGGACTCTGAGCTGTAAATGTCTAAGTCTCAGTGTTGTTGGGTTTTTTTTTCTCCACCGAATGCATTTGCTCGACGACGTCTTTTCGAGAATACTTCACATTCCGAATTTCACCGCCTGAATTCCAAGTCTTCATCTCGGTCTCGTCATCTGAATGTATCTGCATTTCCCAGTGAGTCACGTGGTCTAGTGGATAACGATTTGGCGATTGAAACTAAAGGCACAGGGTTCGAGCCTCAGTGGGAACATCATCACTCAATGGGAAATGCAGGTACATCCACTGACTGACGAATTCCAAACAGGACGAAATGTGCGTTGTACTGGATCCCACTGCTAGTTTCTTGCATTTGTCTGAATTCTCAGTCAATACTGTCTTTCCTACAAATTTCTGGACACTTGTTGAGAGAGAGAGAGAGAGAGGAAGAACTCAATTTTGTCCATGTTAATGTGAATATGAAATGGTAAAAATACATCAGTTGACGCGATTCTTTTTTCGTCCGTTTTTCTGTGTTAACTAATCTTTTGTAGCAAGCTATCAGCACTCCTTACTTTGTGAGTAGCAAATTAGCAAACAGAGGATATTTTGCTGTCTAAAGTAAACTAGACACATCACACGATGATGACAATCAATCACTAAAAACACTCAAAGAGGATGTTTTCCAAATGTATGAGTTTACATTAAAACATGATAGATATTTCCTCATCATCTATAAATCTTTTTCTTTAAAATCAAAGACTCTTGTTGAATAGCAAGTGAAAGAGTAGTGTGTTTTCTCGATACACTGCACGAATGTTGACAAACTTCTGTCACAATTCATTTTTCCAATGACTCTTTCTAACTGATGTTAGACTCGTGATGAAACTTGTAAAGAATGAAGACGTCGAAAATAATTAATAATAATAACACAAAATGATAATAAACTAGTAGTATTCCCAACTTACCGTGCATGCATTCACACTGGAGGTGAGCGCAACTTGTAGGGCTTTTTGTAATTTATCATTATGACTTTTCAATTGCTCGATGGATTTATCCTTTGATTGGAGTTGTTCTTTCAAATCACAGCACTAAATCAGTCCACAGGATGACAGTGAATACAGAAGAAATCAAAATAATAATAATCATTATTATATTATTACTGATAATGATAAATAATGATAATAAATGAAATATTTACAAACTATTATTAATAATCATATTTATTCGTTGAAATTTCTGTAGCGATTTGGTTGTTTTACGGGGGTGGAGTTGCTAGCACCACGCCCCAACCTTCCCTCTTTATCCGGGATTGGGACCGGCTAGAAAACTAGCAAGCTAGTCATCTGGTGAGACACATGTCAAGTAATCCACAACGGAAAACTCAGCGAGGTGTTTCGAGTAAACACAGGAGTCAGACAAGGGTGCTTACTATCACCAATGATATTCCTAATTGTGGTGGACTGGATTATGCGTCAGATTGTGGGAAACGAGAAGACAGGGAGGGATATCCTAGACCGACGTGAAGAACCTAGAAGACCTGGATTTCAAGCGGCAATGATTTATGTTTGTTGTCACACAAAATCGAAGACTCACAAGCAAAAACCGACAAACTGGTCGAAGAAGCAGCAAAAAAGAGACTCCAGGTGAACATAGACAAGACGGAGGTTATGAAAACAACCAACCAACAACAACAGAAACATCCAGTGCCAATCACCATCAACAGGAGGGATTTGAAAGAGTTTACTTCATTCACTTCACTTATCTAGGGAGCATTGTCTCAACTACACGCAGTTAGAACGGATGAGGATGTCAAATCGAGTGAGAATCGGGAAGGCGACAAACACATTCATCAACCTGAAACCAATGTGGAAATCTTCGTCACTCAGCATCACCAACAAAATTCGGATTTTCAATACAAACGTAGTCAGTTCTTCTATACGGATCAGAAACTTGGCGGGCGGGTCACAAAGAATATTTCCAAAAGGTTGCAGACCTTTATTAACAACTGTCTCCGCTCTATACTGAAAATCAGATGGTCGGAAAGAATCACCAACAAGGAACTATGGGAACAAACAAAGCAAGAACCAATTGGCCAACAAATATGCAGGAGAAAGAGGAGATGGATCGGACAATCGCACCGCCAGTCTATGTCATAGGCAAGTAATCGTTCATTTACCCGACTTGGTCGACCCCCCTGGTTACTACTTCACACTAGCACTTCAGTAGCTTCCTGTCGCTAATGAGTGTCAGATTAATTTTCAAGCGTTGGTTCACAGGGATTTGACTGATTAGCAATAATACCACAGGACAATTTCGCAAATAATAACCAATGGATGCGAAGTATGACAAACGCGTGATCACAATATTCAAAACGTACTGAGGAAATATATATATTACACGCTTCATATTTACTAAATCTTATTATTATTATTATTATTATGTCGAAGTTCATTAAAGGGAACTAATTCTTTGAAATGATGATTGCATACAAAAAACAAGGAACTAGGGCGATAACAAAAATACGAATGAACAGCACTTACATTAGAGACTGATTCACCACAATCAAGTCATCCTGAATGACATTCTGTTAGAGGGACTAGAAAGAAATAATTAACCCACATATTTCAGCGGTTAAACTTTAATCTGTGTTGTTAGAACACAAAGACCTAGAATAAACTTTTTCTGTATACTACACCATGACCACCTTATAGCAATATCCCCCCAGGTGGTCAAATGGATGTAGTTGGAGTAGGATTCGAACAGCGGACCCACTGACGCGTATAGTCAGATAGATGCTTGAGAGCCAATGGATCAAATCTCTATTCATGGTGATCTAAACACCAGACAGTCGTTTTACTTGTTTCGCTGTCTCGTTGTCAAACAAAGTCAATTCTCTTTATGCAAGAGAATGCAATAAAACCCTTCAGAAATCCAGACGTAAGTAACAAATAATTAAATTAGATAACAGTAATACTCCTTACACTCGTCTGAGATTTTAACAATTCCGTTGAAAAACTTTCACGTAAATTTTCCATTTCTTGCTTCAATGCAGTCATTTGTGTGTTCATCTCAGACACTTGTGTCTCTAAATTCATCTTTGCTACTTCAGATAATGACGCCTGTGAAAGTAAGTAAGTAAGTACACAGTGAATTATTACAAATGACAAAGATAACGACAAAAAAGCATTAATGAGCAGCAATAAGAGAAGAACAATTATGCCATGAGAACTAACTCGCAAGTATATTATAGAGTCTAGTCTAAGCAGTATACTGTTCAGTTTCGAGTAGAACATAGGCCTTCAACAGAACATCTCCACTTTTGCCTTGTTCTCTACAGTCCTCCTCCTTATTTGACGGTTCCACGCGATTGCACATAATCACATAATCTTCGCCTCCATGTCACTCTTAGGACGCCCAACTCTCTGTTTCCCATTCCGATTCCACTCGGGACTATGACTTTGAGGACGGATGTCACACCCCGTATATTCGATCCACCTTTACACTACACTTTTCATCATATTTTTTGGGTGCTTATTAGTTCATTGGCTATCATAGTTTTTTGTCGCTAATTCTCTCTGATCATCTGATTTTCAGTATACAGCTAGCGAAAAGTTGTTGATAGAAGTCTGACCCAGCATGCTGGGAAACCTTTTGCTGACGCACATACTGTTTATGAACAATGTGGAAGAACTGATTTGACAACTTAGTGTTGAAAATCCAAATTTTGCTCTTTACGTTCATCACCACAGTAGATTTCCATACTGATTTCAGAGTAATGAATGCCTTTCTCTTCGTTTCCGCTTCTGACTTCGACAACTTCTTCCGTGCCACCACCCATAGGTGGAACAATATTGCAAAAAAAAAGTGAAAGAATTCACCTAGTGATTGATAGTTGCTGTGTTATTGGTTGGTTATTTCCATCGCCTACTCCTCCTCCACGTCCACTTCAGGTTCCGTCTTCGCTGCTTATATATCACCAACTTGTTGGTCTTCGCCTGTAGGTCTTAAAGTTTGCACAACACTAGACACAATGCAATCACTCGAAAACTCCAGATCTTCCATAGTCATATCGATTCAATGTATTTCTGTCTTCTCACTTCCTTCCGACGGTTAGTTGTAAAATCCAGTCCACTATAAATTTAGAAATAAAATATTACCGACGATAGTAAGCAGCTTTGTCTCACTCTTGTCTTCACTTCAAGCGTTTCGCTGAGTTTTCCGGTATGGATCACTTGAAATAACGACATTATCATTTAGCTGTTATATGAGGCTGATGAAGGTTTAGGGGCACCCCGTGTTTACTGAAGTAGTCTCCAAATTACTTCACGGTCAACGCTATAGAAGGTCTTCTTTTCAAAGTTGGAAAACACTTAATTGGCAACGAACCATATTGTTCACTTACAGACACCTATAATGGAGATATAAACCACCTAATTAATTAGTATCCCCTTGAGATGCTGTAGGTGGTTGGGGCAAAAATGACTTGAATTCGTTCTCCCTAACGTAGATGCAGTCAAACATATTTTGCATTCTCTCTCAAAACCAGTATATCCTTATGTTTCTTCATCATGTGAACAACCTTCCTCCCGTACATTTCTGTTCTTTATAATTCTCTTTTAAACTTATTTTCTTTTTCTCAACCTTTATCTGCTATGTGGAGAGTGTGGGTAAACTTGGACTGCTGTCCTTCTAAGCAAATTTCTAAAGCCCGCCTTAACTCTACACCACTGAGTTAACAACACAATGGTTCAGGGGAACTGAGCTTATTGATTAGTGTTTAAAAGAATCATATATACAGGCCATAAATTTCATCATCACTGCAAACAATGATTTCATTTTTTAATTCACAGCGGACAAAACCAAAAAAAGGTGACTCAGTATTCAGAAATGAAAATAGGTTAACACAATAGGTTGTGAAGTTTAGTTATACAGGTTACAGGCTTTTAGATCAACATCTGCCACCTTCATTCAATAATGAAGATCAGATGATCCGCCAAAAAAGGATAAAAGTAACAATTGAAATCTGAGTACTAACTAGCCGACGAAACTAACAGTAAAAGACTTACTTCTTTAAATAAATATTTCAAAGCTATTCGTGCTTCTTGAATATTATGTAATTGTGCCAAACGATACGATATTTGACCATTAGAATCTGATGCACCGACACAACCACCACGACCACCTTCTGCATCAGTTGATGATGACCGTTCACCGGCATCGATAAGTTTTTGCTGCAGATCACTAATCTGCTGTGTTTGCGATTGGATTGTCGCTGTAAGACTTTTCACTTCATCCACATACACATCATATTGTTCGTCATTTGGTTGACACGTTTCTATTTTCCTTTCGATATCACGTAATTGATCGCAAACCATTTTACGTGAATCGATTAGATTAGTTAAATGATATCTAACATCTGCCATACTGACATGAATATCTAAATCCATTCTAATCCATCTTCGAATACGTGCTGCGAAATCGAATTTACTAAATATGACAACAATAGAGAAAGTAATAATATTAATAATATAACTTGCATTAAAACAGTTAAGAATACAGCTAACTCATGTGACTGAAAAAGCGCAAAAAGGTGGGCAGTCAATCAATGGCTGTAACACACACCCGTATGTGTGTGTGTTTATGTGTACTTTGCAGAAGTCCACTCTGCCCTACCTTATGGCTGTGAGACACGGCCATTTAAAGTGAGAGTTACGATGAAAATGCCAACTACCTTTGACCGCAAACGTTGGCGTCCTACTTCCCATGTTAAGTGGTTAATATGCTTTCCAGCGGAATTATATTCACTGGACAATAGACGTTGCATCTCACCTCATGTTTACCAGTGCTGATGATTGACAAAACCTGGTTATCAAACAGGAAGCAGAAATTACAAACAACTTAATAGGTCACTTCGCCTGACTACTGCGTCGGCGGTGACTCCATGGCAGGCTCTTAGTCAGTATCGCAGGTCACTCACGAGTGAAGTCCCGACTGGTACACACTTTAACACCTCACTAAAGCCTGCCAACCGGTAGAAAGCTCTGAAAGGGAGGGAATATTGAAGATGAAACTTGCAGACCAAGTCTGCAAAATCAACCTCATCGATATTAGAAATTCCTAGCTCAAAGCCCTGTGCAGCACTCTGATTGCAAGGGATAAAAACATTGGAAACTGAGTCCCTAGATCACCTGTAGAGCCTATTCGATAGGTTTGAAACAGCTGCCAAGATCATCAGATAATTATTTTGACATAGTTTGAAACTTTTCGGCAGTGGGAAAAAACTTCCCCTGAGATAATCTAGTGGAAAAACTATTTCAGTTATAAAACTCCCACTTTATCAAAACAACTATACTATTTTTGTTTATTTGATACATGCTGTTTCTAGCAAATGAATCACAACAACCCTAACGCTACATACTGATCACTGACTGACTGACTGACATGAGTAGCTGCATACCAACACTCACATCAACCAAAAGTAGCTAGATCAAAGTCGTCTGAACCTCAGAGGGTCGTTCCACTTGTTTGAGGCCAAACTCATCAGCGGTGTGCCCAGTTTGACTCTGTGCGTAGAACCGCATAAGTTCCTCTAGAAACAGAAATTATTCCAATTACAATATGTGATCTGTTGGATATCATAAATGGAAATCGAGAGAGCAAGCACGCCAAGCATGACGCCAACACAATAAAACCACAATAACAATACCACCACCTCAGCAATCTTAGCATAAACAACATACAACAAAGATATTCAAGTGTTGGTTTTCAGGGATTTTATTGATGAGACAGGATTCCATCATGAGTTGACATAGGTTAGACAACCATTGGGAAACTGGTACGGTTACCAATACTAAAAAACCGAGCGATGCTGGGGACATCACTCGTACCCAATTCCCATGAAACTTCATGAGTTCATGAAGCTGGCTCATCCTCCCGTAGGAGATAGCGGAAGTAAAGTAAAAGTAAGTAAACCAGCAGGGAGTAGTCAACAGTTGTTTCTCTTACGTCCTAATTTGGAATGCTTCAATAAGTACGCACCCACCGCCAGGAGTTCGAAACCTGAACTTTCTGGTTACAAGGTGAGCTCGTAGACCATTCACAGCGACTGGGATCTGATTCAATGGTCAACTAATGCATTCCAATTTCTGGCCATTCACAATATATATAGCCACCACTAGCCAATGTCATCCGGAGTGAGTATTTGTCCTTACACCGTAAACCTGTACCACCCAACTGGTTACGACTTGTCATTACAACACAAAGATACTAACTCACCTTTTAGGATTATTCACTTCTGAAAGACGTTTATCACGTTCTTGTTTCACGTCCCTCTGACGTAGCAACAACTCCTTGAGGCGACGTTCAGCAGCCGCTGCAGCCTCAATACGCCGCTTTAGTACCGCTTGCTGACGTTCATGAGCCGATACCATCCGTGACATTTCACATTGCAGACGACGATCATGTTGTTGAAGTCTTCTCACCTATATAACAACAATGAATAATAATAATGTCATATTTGCACTAGATCTCCTTAGATGATTAATTTATATCACGAACAGCGAGTCCAAAGGAGCCTTTCTTATAAAATAAAGAATCAACTACTCATAGATGGATAAATCTATACTGACATTTGTCGGTTATCAAAGAAGGGGTTTGAAAATATTATGAAGTATACTGGACCTTGGTTCTAAATTGGATTACCAAGGCAGGGTTAAGGTGATAACAAATAACTTTTGGACGCATAAGAGACAGGTTTAAATCTTTTTATGGTTAAGGCTTTGATGAATTTAAGTATGTGACCCAACCTTGTTTTATATATCGACTTAAAGGCATTGTTAAAATCAACCTTATGACCCGTCTCTTTAATATGCTTCGCTATAGATGATGTTGGACATCTATTTCCGAGGTCAATTGTATCTGGTGATTTCATTTGTTGCTGCAGCCACTTTGGAATGTGTTCTGTAGCCCTAACATGCAGAGACCGATGGGTCTTCCCTATGTATGTGTCCCCACACATACATGCAAATTGATAAACACAGTGGGATGTGACACTATCGTTCGGATGTGAGGATTTACAGGACAGTATAGTTCTCGTTTTCTCTATGAAGATAAGTTTAGCGGTATAATAGGTTCTGTCAATTGCGGCCTAAAGTCTTTGTCTAGTGACTAGACTTTGTTGATCACCTCTGAATGGCAAGGATATGTAAACATCCTTTTCGGGAACTGATTGGATTGGTAAAGCCACATGGTTGACACTTTCGTAACGTCTAATAAATCTCAGTTGGTAATTGTTATCTAACAATATTTCAGTTAGGTGTTTTCTTTCTTCTTCAATTGTATCAGCGGTACATATACGGTGAACGCGCTTGAACAGACACTTAACTAACGCCTTTTTATACTGTAGTGGACAGAAACTGGTAATTTAGATACTGTCCAGTCCATGTTGACTTTCTGTAGACAGATCGTTTTACTGACCCATCTTCTCGGCGGGTTATGAGTACGTCTAAAAATGGCAGGCATCCATTATTCTCTATTTAACATAAGTTAGCGATATACTGTTTTGTGCTCAGTTGATCTGGTTTAGGATTTCTATGGCGTCCGTCGGTTGATCACAAATGACTATTATGTCACCTATATATCTTTTATAGGAATAAACTTATCCAATGTCTCTCTCCACTAGGTTCTCAACATACGACATATATATCAGCTAACAACGGACCTAAGGGGCTTCCCATAACGACACTATCGATCTGGCGACAATGCTCGCCCACGAATGTAAACTCAACATTGTTAGTACAAAGAAGCAGTTACTCTTTTAAGTAAGATGTAGATACTGGTAATAGGAAATCGTTATCACCTTTTGCGTCTCCCTACTCATTATTTGTGACTTTGACCTGTACACAATCTGACCTGTATTGTAATTATTTATGCCTTCTTGCTTTCTATACAAACTGTGTATGACAAGTACGCGAGTGTGTGATCAAAATGTCCGAAATGTGTTGTGCCAATACATTATACGTTTCAGATAAACTACGTCTTCTCATTGTGTTGTCGAAATTCATAAAAGGGAACTAGTTGCTTTAACCTGGTAATTATCGGACAACATATATACACACAACAGACGGAATTCCATTATCTAAGATATGTGTCTGTCCGTCTGTTTTTGACATAGAACTTTGCAGAAATGTGCGGCAGTCGCCACACTCCATATATGTGGTTAATTGAATTATCTGTATTAAATTTCAGAAAAGGAATATTTATTTTGGATGAAATTCATATCTCATGTGTTATCCTAATCTCTTCACTTCACAAAAAAACACGACGGAAATAAGATACTACACATGGTGAAAAGGATTAATAGGACAAATAGAAAGATTCAAATTCTGAAAGTCTTTATAGATGGGGGACAGTGTATACACATCCACCCCACCCCCAGTATAAAAAAAACTTAGTCAGAATACTGTTCAATCGAGTGCGGAAAATTTGTTTGGACAGTATAATTGAATAGGAAATGAAGACCCTGAAGAACATAATTATCTAAGACTGGTTATCCTGAGACGTACACATCTAAAGGTATTCTAAAGAAGGCTTCATAGATCGGATGACCATATCAAGATGATACACCAAGTAATAGTCGGATGAAGACTTGATAAGGTTATCAGAACTTATTAGGATCCAAAGCTTGTATACTCTTTGGACTACTCAAAACACAGGTGCTTCAACAATCTGAGAAAAGGACCAGAGCGCCAATCCTCGATACTTCCAACTAGGCATGTATTTTTTGGAAGTAAGCAAACACATTGTACGGAAAGGCGACTGTCTTCATCACACGATGCAGTATTTGTTCTCAACTGGTTTTTTTAAACAGTTCAAGTCAACACACTAAACACAAATAAATGCAATTGAATTGGTTACTTTTCTTCTCAATGAAGAACACGTTGAATCGTCGTCGTGAATATAAAATAGTACTGATCATTTTTCCACCAAAACACTCCTTTTTAAGCAATCAATAAAAACAAAACAAAACAAAATCAATTAGGGTGAAAAAGAAACTGATCCGCCCGTAGCAAATTACACAAACACACACGCACAGAGTTTGAGGAGGAGCACATTCACTACTACAGTTGCCTCACAACCACCCCATATGCGATCTGTTTTTGATATCACGAACCATTGAATGACACCATTAATTGGAATTCACTCCTGATTAGTGTTTGTCAAACGGTGACTATGGTGAATTTTCACCTGATGACTCAGCTCTTCGAATTGAGTCAAACTAAATATCACTACTATGCTGATGGGGTCAGTCAGAAACGAGTGAAATCGATATCCAGTGTGTAAAAAACTTTATCACTATGGCTATATCAAAGCATTACTGGTTGACGTGAACGATTTACAACTCCTGGTATAAAAGATATCATTTCATGCAAATACCACCACTAGGTGATCTGTTGTCCATATGTATCAGTCAGAATTTTGTCACTGATATGTATCCATATGATGTGTGTTTTGTTTTTGACAGTCTATTATATTTTGTTACGTATAAATGGATCGATATTTCATTATAACTGACAACATGCTTTTGTCTGTCCACTAACTAAATAAACAATGTATGACCTTGTTATCACATGACATTACAACCAAACATGGTAAGACGTTATCTTATTGGTTCATGTGTATTAGCCATTTTCATATATACTTGCATTGTACATTTTATCATTATTGTTGTTCACCCACATTTCGTACATCTAAGTACCCTTTCACTCACACTCTTGTGTGACATTTATTTTCCTTGTTTGGAAAATACAAGTATCAGCATGAACAAGTTGGTCTTCTGATTTCCCCCTTTTTGCATCAGGACTATTAACTACTCGACGAGTATATAACATAATTGGCGACGGGGAAAACTCTAATAACCACTCAAGTAGCAGTACATAACAGTCACAAATGTGTAAAAACAATCTTGTTAATTTTCAGAATACTGACACTCATTTCAGTGGTCTATAATTCATTTTACCAATGCTTCCCCCTTTGGTGAACTCTTATCGAATGAATAGATATTCTTGATAAGATATTCTTGGCTATCTCTGAATGTCTTCCCTACAATACAGAAGACAAACTGCACTGAACACAATCAAAGAGAATTAGGTTCACCTTTATGATGATACTTAGATACTTACAAAAATGGCAGGAATGGTAGTAATAAACGACAAATTTAGTCATTTAAACATTTCATTTGAAAATGCTCCAAATGATAAATGATATCATAGTAGAGATTTTTATAGTTCGAGGCAATTGGTCTAACCACCTTCATTTTTCTCCCTGATTATTTTTACTAGTACGATAGATTTTTCTCATAGAATTTCTCGTAATTGTATTCACTTCCATTGACATTATTAATCATCTCGTTTTGATCTGATATTTGATTACTTTTTAAAGTGCCATCCTGCTTCATACCGATTGATAAATTAAACCTATACCAGCATATTATAGCTGGTATAGTTAATGTATGACAGCCAAAGTCAAGATCTTTCAAAAGTTGACCTTTGCACGTCAAGAAGCGATTAGATACAGGAAATGCTATGATAAAATATCATTCGAAATCAAGTCATGCCTGCCTTTTAGGTTTTGGAAATAATACATACAATATTCCATATATTCTCTAGGTACTTTTTCTGCTAATCAACATTGTTAGGTAGGGATATGGCTTTTAAGATTAAGGTTACGCGATTAGAATGAGAAGTTAGGATTATAGTTGGAGTTAGGAGTAGATTAAAGAATAGTGTGAGAAATATCAATGAATTTCAAAGTACCATGACCTTTATAGTCAGTCACCTGGATGCATGGGTATAGCACACATGGTACGATTTCTCAATAGATCATCTGTACATTGACCGTAAGACATTCTTCCAACACATAAGCTACTACTGTATAGTGAAATATGAAGTTTGCAATAATTTCTAGTGTATTTTTCAAACGATTATGTGTGACTTTTTTGCATCTGGGCTCTGATTGGTAGTCCAAGGGCAATGTGGTTTTAGGTATGATAGTTTAACTTTGCCCATGTTATCTATCAATTGCAAATTGATTTGCCCACATGAACTCCGAAAAATAGGCCCTCTTCACCCTCGTATCTCAGCTAGCAGTTTAAGAGATAGTTAAGGTATACACACAGCATACAGTCGCTAAAATAATCCATCAACTTAACTGAGAAAATGTGAAATCAATTTTTAAATACAGGAAACATGAAGACTAGAGTATTTCTAGAAGCCATGGTACTCAAAATAATTTCCCCTTTTAATAGAGACATGTTGATTTAGAAGATAAAGCCAGAGAAAAGAGTACAGAAAGATTCAAAAGAGAGATAACAAACACAAGTATGAGAGTAAGGGAAACGATAGTTTTACTGGTGGATATGACAAATCACAAAGGGTGAATGCATCTGCGCCAGCCATCACCGAGAACGATTTTCAGTCATGTCACCAATTGTCTCCAGTCTTCATTGGTTCTTACCATCCTGACGATCCCAACCAGACAGACAGCCAGTCTACACATCCCTACGTGCTTGGCTGGCTGGCTCAAACTAACTTTAACGGATTTCATTGCTTGATGAAGCCATGTTTCGGTTTGGCGACCACTAGCTCTTTTACAACCTGATCCAATGTTAGCAGCTAACATTGCTCGTCGTCGAGGAAGGTGATGGCTAGACATATATATGTAATACATGTCACAACCATCTCAATCGAAGTGACTTTACAACCTCGCCTATTCATTTCCCTTCCAACTCACCTAACTCTTGACCGACGCCTAACTTCAATACTGCTCATTTTAATATACCACTTAACACGGAGATAAAGAGTAGACTCCTACGATCAAAAACAGGTAGTCTTTTCGCTTTTTTTTCCACTTTCAATGATCATGTCTCGCAGACACGACGCATTTAGGACGGAGCGGACTGGTGTGCAGTACATACGCCGCTTGGTCGACAGCTGAATATCAAGGCTACGTGAGAAGGGAGCAAGTTGGCATACGCCAAACAAGCCTTCTGTACCCGTGCTAAGATTTCATCAGCGATCAAACCATTGGTGGTCAACACGCTGTCAATACAACAAGCGAATACAATCACAACGGAATCTAAGACAACAACTAACCGTAGTGAAATTAATCAAGAGAGAGAGAGAGAAATATTTCATCAGTGAAGAATTCCAAAGGGTAATGCGACAAAAACAATGCAACCAAATCCAGCTTAGAGAAAATAACATCACCAACGACTGCAATATTACATGCTACCAAAATACACACAAAATGCGCACACTTACACACACACACTAGCACACTCACAATTAGGGCAAAACCCACAAAATAGTAGTCAGCAAGTAAGTAATAATGACAAACATGTGTGTGCACAAAATACTAACCTCATTCTCTTTTTCTTTACGCCATTTTCTGTAAGCAGCACTTTCTTCTCTTAACTGTTTAGCTGAACGAATCATTTGTGCTTTTAATGATTGTATTTCAGTGCGTAATCTTATACATTCTGTTTCTCTGGCTTCTTTAGCTTTTTTCAAACGCGATAATTCAGTTAACTGACGCCGTGTTTGTATCAGTTCTTGTTCCATAGCCTTTAAAAGATTCTCCTTTTGAATCTTAGTACTACAAGTACACATAAAAGTAGGAAAAGGGAAATAATAAGAAATGTTAAGATTCTATAATAAACGAAAACGCGAACAGGAGGGAGATTAATTTAGCATTTATGCATTTACGCCAGTGACAAAGATTTTGAGCAACGCCACCAAAACAATCTCCATCCTTATTGGTTTCGTGGCATCCTGAGGAACTCGGCTAGCTAGCTAGCCAGCCAGGTAGTCTATACCTGCTCCTACATGGCTGTCTCAAACTAATTATTTGAGATTTCATGAACTCATGTCAAGTTTCGGTTTATTCACCACTAACTGTTTTTTTTTTCAAACTGATCCTAGGCATGTGTGATGGATGTGTCCTATAGCCATGCCAATCGATGTAGCTTTACAATCTCATCAATTGACTTTCCCTTCACACCTAACATTTTCACACGTAACCTAACAATTGCCCACTTTATTAGACAGACCACTTTACACAAGAGACAAGAAGCAATTTAGTCTCTTTAATGGCCATATCTTACAATCATAAAGATGGAAGCAGAAGACTGCTGTGGAGTACACGCATCCTAGATACCATGTCTACCTCAGAGACGACAGGGGTCGGCAAATGCCATACAAGCCGTTATTGCCGTGCTCAGACCTCACACATAAGGGTTGATGCAGCTTCCCAAATAAGTGAATGAAGTGGTCAACAAGCCCGACTACTTCCCTAGAAGGTTGGTCAACGATTCGCCAATCTCGACATTTGGCAGTCGATTCCCAAAAACACTAGAACATTATTGCAAATTCCGCTCCATCTACCTAGGTTTCATCAATCAGTCAGTATTGTCAGCCATTATCATCATCACACAATACGTGTGTTACTTATCCTCAAACAGTATGTAATTGTGACTGGATGTTGAATAGCATTCACACTAACGCATACAACACTGCACACCTATAGTAAATCACCTAATATTCAGTTTGCAATAAAATTCAACATAATACGGTTTATAGTTAGGTGCTAGTCAACAAAACTTGAAAACAAAAACGGACACGGAAAACACACAAACATTATAAACATACTCTTTTGATTCTTCATTATTATGCTCAGCTAGTAGTCGACTTTTTTCCAATTCTAATTCAGATATTCGTGACTGCAATTCACGCACTTGTGATTCATACTTTTGTAATAGTAAACAATATGATTCATCGCCTTGTTCAGCTGCAGCTTTTAAACTAGCTAAAAGATCATTTTTCTGACGAATTGTTGCTTCAATAGTTTCAATACGTTGTTTACATTCAATTCGACGTGCACGTAGCTCCGACCGCCACTGATCTGAAAATTAATTTAAGAGTAAGGTTAGCGTAGAAGCCGTGTGTTCGTCTGAATCCAAATCACCCGACAAAACACCGTTTACCCCCTCCAGGATAGGATAGGAGAAATGAAACAGTTGACTGCCTAGGCTGAAGTAAGAATCACACTGGGAAACAACTGGTTAGGAGTTAAGTGCTTCAGTCAATGAACCAATATCCTCACAATAAATGTATGAACCCTACATCATCAATGCACTTAATATTCCCCGGATTCAGTCTATTCATACAGTAACTCAGTTATCCTCCCACATATGTCTTTTGCACTATTAGTTACGCATAATATTACTGTTAACTAAACCCACTACAAGAGGTAACTGGTTTCTGGAAGAAATGATTTAATTAGGAACTGAAATTATTTTTTCCTGGTGTCTAAACAGCTTTACGTTCACACACAAAATACCTGCGATAACTCTGACCACTGAATACGGCAGAAGCGTATTTATTTGTTCAAAATACTATTCTATTCCCCTGTTGATTGACTCTACTAAACCGAGATGTTTGACTTCTGGTGACATGTCAACTTCTAGTAAGAAGTCATGAAGTCGACATTCCGTTATTGGGTTAATGATCACCAGCAAGTGAATCCAGGAGGTGCGTTTCCTCCACTCCTTTGGTACGTGCATCCCCAATAAATGATAGTGTCAAAACTGAGACTCAAACTCGAGGCAGAGTTCAATAATTTTAACAAATAAAAACCGACATCCATTTGCTCAGTGGATAACGCTTTTTTTTGAGTGTTAAGGTGTTAGGATTCAGTCAGAATGGGAGCATAATCACTCACTGGGGAATGCAGTGACGAACTGCAATTAGGGTGATATGAGTAGAATGGATTTCATTACTAACCACTATCGACCAAATAACACAGGTATGTTACCTGTGTTTTCAATGAGATTTTGAGTGACTTTCTGAGTTATTCAAGCTAAACTTTAATTTTTCACATAAAGAACATGTTTTCAAATGTAAGATAGATGAATTACTTAATCAAATATACACCATTTTGCTTAGGTAAAGTAACTACTACTCACCAACTCCTTGCGTTTTGGTGGTTAAAGTAGTCATTGTTTCGGAAGCACGACTAATATTTTCATTACCATCGTCATTATTGTCCATATTTACTTCAGTATTCTCCAATGTCATTCTATTGAATTCTTCGTCTTCTGTACCCAAACCCGTAATGTCTGAGCGAACTTCAGCTAGTAGATCAGTAGACTGTTTATAGGCATGTTCTAAATCATCGTTTGTAATCTGCAGTGAAAGAAAAACAAGAGTAAAAATATGCAGCGACAACACAATTCTAATGACAAAATAAATTTGGGCATGCATACCTTACAAGAGTCGACTGATTCACGGTGGCTGAGGTGATTATCTTAAATTCGCTTATGAAATCGAGACTCTATCAACTATGAAGGAAACTATGATGGAAAAGCGGAGAGATGGTCAGTCCATGAGGTGACGCCATCGGATGAAGGGTTTTCGTGTCAAACTACCATACTTTGGTGCAGCACCAGGACTCCCCTGAGTAGGGTTCGACAGACAGTTCGAATCCGTGACTCCAAATGTTAATATATATATATATATATATATACCTGAAAATTGTAATCAGTGGTGGACACGGCATAATTTTATCCTCTTCTCTTTCACAAAGTGGCTGACTAACTTCAACATATACATGGTGAACACATGTCAAATGCTCTTCACAGGTATGGTAGCTTGTTTTCACGATCCTGTTACCTAATTATTCTATCTACCTATTCCAAACATTGTTTAATTTCTCGCGCTGCACACCTCCTGGTACCTAGTTTGTATGCTGTATATAAATACACCCAGCTTCTACAGGGCTGAAGACACGATATCAGGCTAACATGTTCTTATTCCTTGACGTTTTGAGTGGAACATGGAGCTTCAAGCTAGAGTTTTGAAGTTTTAGTAGCAGTGGTTTTATTTCACGGGGTGGGGTCGCTAGCCTCACGCCCAACCTCCACTCTTTACCAGACTTACTAAAGGTTCAGCGAGATTAAGGAGTGCGTCAGCCGAGGTTGGAACCCCGGACCCCAAAAGTTTCTTGACGAGTGTTTTTCTAAAGAAGCACCGACTCTGAGGCTAACATGTATTAAATTACAAAAAACTTACTGAGATTGGATTTTTTTATTTCCATCGCGTTCCCCAGAGGAACATAGGGCTTCAAGTTTCTGTAGCAATGTTTTATTTTTACAGGATGGGGTTGCTAGCCTCATGGCCAACCTTACCTCTTTACCAGTCTTATTACTAGCTAAGTGAGGTAAAGGAGTGCGTCGGCCGGTAATCAAACCCCGGACCATGTGCATGGTAGGCGAGCATGCTAACCTCTGTGCCACCGACACACATAAACTGAGATTGAATACGTACTATTTAAATATTAATGTCACACAACAGGCTAGTCACCGAATAGAATCCCGCAAGAGAGTGGCAAGTCAGGCATTCGAGAGTGACATGGAAATGATCATGAGGAGTAAATGAATGCTTGTCGGCAGACATGGACACAGTTGGAAGTAATAGTACAGAACCGAGTGTAATCGAAGTGCGCGACTGGCCAAGTTAAACTTTAAGTACCACTAACTACCAACGGAGTGCGACCGCACCAATAACCTTGAAACGCTCACTGAGCAATTTAGTGAGACATGGCAAACAATGTTGTCATCATCAATAAAATATGCTTATTGAAATGTTATGCTATTAAAGTGGGATACCTAGCAAGTTTCGGCTTAGGTTTGAGAACGATTAAGTTAGTCTTTAAGCCCAAGAACAAGCTAAGGTTAAGTTAACCTAACAAAAGCGACAGTAGGTTTGGTCCGAGTTAGATTACAGTTAGTTTAGGGATATCTTCACGTTACGGTTAGGTTCAGGAAAGATTAGGGTTATCGTTATGGCTAGAACACCTGAATAACTAGATGCAGAGAATGTTAAATTTCTCTGTTGATATAAGAATAGAACTTGTGCACTGTCATCCGATATAATTTCATTGTGAGTAAAATTTATTTTGTCATTAGAAGTCTCACAGTGATATATAGTAATATTTACTGATGACGTTTCGAGCACAATCTACTGCTCACGAAATATGTACTGTATAATACAATGGAATTACACTCTGTTGATATTCCAACTTAAAACATCTATTTTTGTTACATGTGAGAGAAAGGTGTTCTCTGTAACACTTTCATAAAGTTTTTATGCAATTTTTTTTCATAAATATTTGTATTCCACACACACACACATTGGTGCGTTCGAGGTCATTAGCTGGTTGGTGGTAGTTAGTGATGCTTAAACTTCAACTTTGCCGTGTAACTGAGGTTTTACGCTACCCACTCGGGATCCAAGGAATAAATAACAATGATAGGAGTAATGATAATAACTGAAATAGTCATTGAATAAGAACTTACTCTATGCGATTCAGTAAGCGATAGGCTTTTCACTTTAGCAAGAATACTCTCCAACTCCTGAATACAACGCAATAATTCAGGATTTTCGCTTAATTTATCCTCAACTAGCTGTTTCAAAGAACTAAAGGGAAAAGTTTTTGTTTTAGAAATGAAGTTCAGCCTTACTTGAAAACAGATTCGACTTTTTGATATTCAGTGAGCAGCACATCACGTAGATTATCTGAATCGAAATTCACTTTGTATAACTCCTTTATTTTTTCAACTGAACGATCCAATTCTTCACAAAGTTGAAGTTTCTCACTCTGAGAAGAGAGAAACAACAAAAAGTAACAACTGTTCATGTACGTAAAGTAGAATTTACGTAAACCGAAACATGTAGTATTTTCGAGTTTCAGTAGCCAAAGTTTGTAAGAAAAATAAAACCAAAACGAAATATATAACTAGGACGAAACAGCTGTCCAGTACTCCTAGGTTTTCCAGTGGTTTTTTAACTAATGTCAGCTCATGATTAAATCCTCCATGCAATCAAACAAAATCCCTACAAAAACCAATACTTGAAAAAACGAAATATACCTGATGTGAACAAGATTGAAATTGTACGGTTTATCGCTAAGAAAATGTACATGTGCATAACTTCAAAATACTTATGCCAGAAAGCCCCTAACAAAATCACTATCAAGGATGGATAGGTGGCTTCAACCTGTTGTTTGCAGTACTCTTTAGGTAACTCCACAACTGCTTATAAGCCCTTATCCCCCACCTACACAATCTACTCGGATGCCCAACTCGTCGTTTCGCATTCACATTCCACTTAAAGGCCTGACGAGCTATGTTACCACTGAATGGTCTTCGATCTACCTGCATTTCTCCGACATGTGTTGACCGATAGGTGCTTGGTTAGTCGGTTGGTTGCATCAGTTTCCTGTTGCCATCCGAACCCCATTATGAAGGCGGCGACGGCAGCTGTCGAAAAAAGTTCTAAACCTTTCCGAAATGCTTTTGGTGATGCGTGCGCCAAGTCTCTGAAACATACAGAAGAACTGATTCACTTGACATAAGTGCTGAAAATTTGAATATTATTGCCTATGCTAACTGCAGAAGATTTTCACACTGGTTTCAGATATTTATTGAAGATCTGGCCTACTTTTTTCATCTTTAATGACTTTGACATCGTCACCCACACCGCCTGTAGTTGAAACGATGCTGGCTGGATAAGCGAAACAAGTGACTTCATTCAAATCTCGCCTGATGATAGTGATTTGTGCCTGTTGTTGTTGTTGATTAGGGTGTCTTCATCACCTGTCGCTATATACACTAGAAGTTCGATCTTCGCTGTCTCTTCGCTTATAACGATAATGTATGCAAAAATATCCTCCCCCTCTTCCTCCACTAAATAAATACTGAAGACCAAAGGACTAAGGGGGACTTCTATTAATAAGTTAAGGGATAACCTCAAAATCACCATCGTGGTTCACTGGTTTAAGCGATTGACTAACTGAATGATTTCTAACAACTGAGTTGCAAACATCATATCACCCTTCACGCAACAAATATGGCCCAACACCAGTTTATATATAAATCTAAATGCTTATTGAATGAAGTAATTTACAGTGTAAAATGAAATCATTATTATCGATAAATTTTTAAAAATTATTTCTCTTACTTCTAATTTTCTAGTTTTATCCAAAAGACCAGTGATTATTTCAGACGAGAAATGACTACTACTAGCAGCACTATTAGTAGAGTTAGCTGAGGACGACATTGGTTTAATAAGTTTTGCGCATGGACTTAATAATGGGAATGATGATCCATTGGTTAGCTGTGATTGCAACTGGGCAACCAGAGTACGTAATCTAGCCAATTCAGCATCTTTAGGATCAGCACGATTTAATATTGGCTTGTTTTTGATTAAACGTGCTCGGTCAGCATATCTGAAGAAAGAAAATAAATGAAGAAATAAGGCGTCTCTTAGCATACATGAATGTACAATTACATTTTGAACACTGACATGAAATAAATTTTCTAATCACTTAGACACTGTGTACTTCGTTTTTTTAAACATGTTTCTGTAGACATACACTAGGTTAGTCGGGCTAAAACTTGACTAACCTTGGTTGATAAAGCTATTAGTATTAAATAGCGAAACGTCAGTAAAAGCAATATCGTTTTGTTTTTCATTCATTGGGAAATACAAAAACCTTTATTATAAAGAACCTTGGTTAGCTTGACTAATATGGTATACAATTGGTGGATGGTGGCTAGCAGTGGAATCCAGGATGCGCATTTCGTCCTGCTTGGGACTCGTCAGCTGGATGTACCTGCATTTCTCAGTGAGTGATGATGTTCCCACCGAGGCTCGAACCCAGTACCCATAGTTTCAAACGCCAAAGCGTTATCCACTAGACCACTTGGGCCACGAGAGCCACCTTTTGTGCAACGGTCCAATCAATCGACGGGAAAATCAAAAATTCAATTCAATAATTAATATGACCCGTTGCACAAGAGGTGGCTCTCGTGGCCCAAGTGGTCTAGTGGATAACGCTTTGGCGTTTGAAACTATGGGTACTGGGTTCGAGCCTCGGTGGGAACATCATCACTCACTGAGAAATGCAGGTACATCCAGCTGACGAGTCCCAAGTAGGACGAAATGCACATCCTGGATTCCACTGCTAGCCACCATCCACCAATTGTATACTAATTAAATACCCAGACATCGTCGAAGCATCTGCACAAAAAGCCGACATGTCAACCTGAGACCGAGCACTTCGGTCCAATCAATCGACGGGAAAATCAAAAATTCAATTCAATGACTAATATGGTATCTAAAGTTCTGGATTCAATAATCATGCGTAGACTAAATGTTGCTCAGGGGACACAAACACGAGAGAACCGACAGGCCTTTGACCTCCATCACCATCATCAACGCTGGACTCAGATAGACCACGTAGCGATAGGGTACCGTTGGCGAGGGTCAGTAGAAGACTATGTGGCTCCTTTTGGAGTACTATCGTAGACTCTGATCACGTTCTGGTCCGCGCACATTTGTGTTCACGGGTAAACGGACATAAATTGTTGGCAGCAAAACAGTTACGTCCCCAAGTGGATGGAGACTGAGTCTCTATTTAAGGAGGAAATAGCGAACGTGTATCTGAGGTCGACAGTAGGACTTCCACTGAGGTAGCCTGGTACAACATACAGTTAGCTGTAAAAGCTGTTAATAAGCTAAAACCAAAAGTTAGTAAGATCCATTGGACATCTACCGCCTTATCCGAACTAGCTGACGCAAGAACACTGACTCCAGCGAACGCCGATTACGGTGAAGATCGAAAGCTACTCAAACGCAAACTAACAAGAAGCCTTCAGAACGGCCGTGAACAGTGGTGGGCAACCAAAGCGAATGAGATGGAAAAGACAGCGGCGATTGGTAACACCAGACAACTATTTATACTTATCAGGGAAACAGGTGATGAAAGGTAAACGATTAGTGAAAGTCTCTGAGAAAAATGGCACCATAATTAGCTCTCAGGATAGACGAACGGAACGTTGAAAAGAACACTAAGAAGCAGATTAATCGGCCTACAGCCACACTCTTCTTACTGAACATCCAACAATTCCCTGAATGGGATATAGACACAGGTCCTCTGTCCCTAACTGAAGTTACTAAAGCAGTCACTAGTCTGAAACGAGGCAAAGCAGCAGGACCAGATGGAATGATTCCAGAGGTATTTAAGTACGGTAGACAGTTTCCTGTCTGTGTTAACTAAAAGTAGTAGTAAGCGTCTGGGAATCAGAAGAAGTCCCGTCGAGTTGGTCTAAGTCAATAATTAGCCCGATACACAAGAAGAAGGGAGACAAATCTTCCTGTGATAATCACAGAGGGATTAGCTTGACTAATAATGGTATCTAAAATTCTAGGTTCAATAATCATGCGTAGACTAAGTGGTGCTAGGGAGGCACAAAGACGAGAGAACCAACAGGCTTTTGACCAGGAAGAGGAAGTACTGATCAAATCTTCACCCTTCGGCAGATTCTGGAACATAGGCATACTCACCACCGGCGTCCATCATTATATTTCTTGACCTAAAGGTGACATTCGATTCTGTCGATCAAGAGGTACTCCGGCGATGTTTCGTTGTGAAGGGAATGCCGAGAAAATACAGAACACTGACCAAGGCACTCTACTCGAACTCATATAGAAAGATAAGAGCTTATGGCGAGTTGTCATCTGACGTGGTGACAACTAGTGGTGTCCGACATGGATGCCCACTATCCCAATTTCTATTCAATTTCATCATACCTGTACTAATGGAATTAACCCTAACTGCCGACTTCAGAGACTCAGGAATTGACTGTGTTGTTACCAGGGAATAATCTCGTCTACTTCTAATATGCAGACTATACAGTCCTTCTAGACCAGGGCGCTGACAAAGTGCAGAGTCTTCTGAACACCTTCAGCTGCAATCTACGAATGTTATGCATGCGATTCGCTTCCGCCAAATGTAAGATGATGTTACAGGACTGGACTACATTGACAACTAGCTCAGAAATAGGGTGTGAAGTGGTATCCGACTGGCTATCGACCAAAGAGCGTGTCTACTGCTCCGACCTCCTTCATGACTGTGAAACCAAGCCATTGAGAGTAGAGGGCATGAAATGACTAGCTGTCAAGATATCAAGATATTAGAGACTAAGAACCCAAATGACAAAGCCTCAAATTAGATCACATTACAACATTAGGAACACTGATACTTTGAAATGTGTCACAAATTTTCATCCAACTCTTTCTTTTCTTTCCAAATTCCTTTTGATGATAGTAATAACGTTTTCCTTGGCATCTATAGTCTTTTATGACGGTTTTATGAAGTGACAACTCGAACGAATTGGCTTTTCTCATTTCATTCTCACAGGCACACACTTCAAGTAAATCGTAGTGGTAAAGTTAAAGGGGAAACAGTGGAGTTTTAGACAAAAAAATACGGTAAACACTCACCTGAGTGTATTTAGAGTCTCCTCCATATTCATATCTGCGGGACTGACGCAAGCGAGCATTAAGGTTGCACTATTCCCACCTAATGAATCTTGCAGTAGACGAGTTAAACGAGAATCACGATACGGAATATGTGATCGCTTTTTTGCATCTCTTTCACACAATGCACTTATTACATTGCCCAGAGCAAGTAGACCCCTGTTTATATCAATACCTAAATGGAAAGATTCAATGAAAGATAGAATTATGCCTGGAAATGATGATATCCGTTAAAAGCATTCTCTGGTGTTAGTGTATATATAAGGGGGTATCCGAATTAACACATCTTTATTTATAATTCCTAAGGCTTAAAACAACACTGACTGGTGTCCAAGTTAGCATTTTAGAAACTGATAAAACAGGCTTAACACTTAGTTTAGCCTGCACTTGATAGTATTATTTCTTGAAGAAAGCCTAAATGACTTGTAAAGTTGATTTTGGGCGAGGATTTTAAGATTTTTTTAATTTAAAGTGATATTGGTTATTGATCTAAATTGCCACAGGACGATTAAAATGACAATCAAACCGGAATAACGAGAAACCACATCTTAACTTTGAACATAATACAGTGTAAACAAAAATACATGTACCTCTAACTTCACTTTATGTCGTACCTATACTGATGATCCCTTTGTTTTTATTTTACATCTTCCTTTTTTATTTCTATTGATATAAATGATTTAATGAAAATAAAACACGTGGTTCATCAGTCTTCATTAATGTCTGGATGGAGATTATTTATGAAATAAGTGACTCATTATAAGACCTATACACAGATCAGTTGCATCTGATATAATAAACTAGGATTTTTTATTCCCAGTCGGTCTATTTATGGGAGGCTTATGGCATAAATACGACAGTATTACTATTTATATTATTATCGTATCCTTTAATTCCTAGAGGAACATATGGCTTCAGCCGCGCGTCTCCACTGCGTTCGGTTTTCTGCCAACGTTTTCACCCCGCTACAAGTTTACTCACATGCATTCATCTCTTCACATCACCTCCTCCAAGTCACCCCAACACTGACGATCAACTCGCTGCTCCCCTTTCGGGCTCCACTCGAGCAATGGCTTGTCTAGTGATGTCACTCGATGGTTTCCTCAGGGTATGGCCAATCCATCTCCATTTCTCCCTACCTATTTGTTTCACAATCGGTTCCTGGTCGGTTCGCTCCCAGAGATCCCTGTTGCCGATCTTTTCTGGCCATCTGATCTTGAGTACTGAGCGAAGACAACTGTTAATGAAGGTCTGTAGTTTGTTTGAGGTGCTCTTTATGACGCGCCAAGTCTTTGATCCGTATAGTAGCAGACTGAATTCACATTGGAGTTGAAAATCCGGATCTTATTTTTGATGGTCAGTGCTGTTGACCTCCACACAGACTGAAGAGTAATGAAAGCTTGTCTTGCTTTTCCGATTCTCGCTTTGATATCCTCGTCAGTTCCCCCTGTAACGATGCTTCCCAGGCAGGTGAAGGAGGTTGTTGAAGAAGTTGTTGAGATAAAATCAATTTGGCTTTTGGTTTGCTCATCTGGTGACACCCATGTAGCCTTGTGAATATCTTTGTGTTTGTATAAGCTGCCACCAAACACTAGTTTATTGAAGGCGCAGAAGTCGGCGAGTTCTCCATTTTCACTCATTTCTCCGAGAGCTTCTCTACCCATGATGAGTTCCCTTCCTGTGTTGTCTGGTCCTAGTCTGGCGTTCATGTCTCCCATTAGTATTTTAATGTCACCATCTGGAGTATTGTCCATTGTTGCCTGTAGAATTCTTTCTTTTCGAGGTCTGCGTTGCATAGCATTGTATAAGTGACACTTTCCTTCCTTTGGAGTTGAATCCGGTAGTCATTATCCTGGGCGAGACCGCTCCCCATTGCATCAGGGCCTTTGTTGCTATTGGTGACATCATGATAGCCACGCCCTTGGTGTGCGTGATTATCTTCTGTGTGACCGGAGTAGATCACTGACTCACCCGTTGACAGTTTGGTGAGTCCATTCCTGTTCCATCTGCTTTCACATATCCCCAGTACTTGAATCCCTTATCGTTTCATTTCGGTTGCGATCTGAGCAGATTGGCTAATCTCGTACATAGTGCGGACGTTCCATGTCCCCACACAGACTTTTTCTTCTGGCGCAAGGAGATTCATCGGACTGAAGTTTCTGTAGCAACTTTGTTTACAGGATGGGGTTGCTAGCCTCACGCCTGAGAAAGGAACTGTAACATTAAGATAAAGTTTAGAGAGAGACGACCTTTTGGGTTGCTCCCCTTAAAACCGGAAAAATCAGACAGCAGAATGAGTCAAGTATGTCACCTGACTTCCACATGAATGAAGGATACGCAACTGTCCAGTATTTTATAAACCAATCCTTTTTTAAGTCTAATTATCAAAGTGAATTTAAACAGAGAAGCAACTTATCCACGACTAATAAAGTATTTTCAACCTATGAAAAACGATATTTGCACATGCCCCATGAATTTACGAAGGGAATAACTATGGGAAATAAATTCATACTAAAATCGAATTAATGTTACATTTACATAGCTCAATAGATTAACTAGACGTAAAAATAAATGGCTTATACTATAACATTATTTTACACACCCAATAACATCTCAAGAGGAAGACACGTTTGTCCAATGAGGACATTACAATCTAATTCCTGATCAGGTAGAAGTAAAATAAGTATTGTTTATGCACTTTTCCTTATTTCATGCAAATCCATTGGTAAGTAAAAACTTTTATCCACCCAAATCCGGTAATGAGGCAGACTGCATCACCCAGAGAGAGGGACTTCACTGCATGGGTGTCTAGGCAGACCAACACTTCAAAAATAACAAGCGTACACATTGAGTGTGCTTAACAAACTAGTACATAATATTTTACAGGCCCGTTTAACTCTAATAGGATAAAAACATTACACTTACCTTCCTTAAGCCTATCACCTTCAGCATGTGTTTTTTTAAGACGTTCAGAACCAGCTAAGTCAACCAAATGCAATTTCGCTGTTAATGTACCTTCTGTACTTTCAGCACCACACTCGATTACCTTAGGTCGCAATAAAAAGTTCAGCGTTAATATGGCATGACTTCGACTCGACTTCATGTTCATGGCAGTGCTGCCGACACTTCGTTTTGCTGAACCAGACTGAAGGAGATTTAAAACTTCCTCTGGGCATGTAACCAGTGTCTCAGTTAGTCCTGGGATCTACAGAACTCCATAAGAAATGAAACAACAAATACCTTCACAAGCTGGTTCTCTTCACGAATCTGCAAGGACGCGGACGCATCTTCTGACAGTAAATCGTGTATATCTTCTTTATATATCTAGAGAAATATTTACAGAAAGTTGTACACTACCTCCAGAAATGAAACTTTCACTGTGTATTCGTATTCACAATCCGGCATCCTGTCGAACAAGTCTTTAATAATCCGTGGAACAATGCCAACAGAATTTTCAGACAAGTTTTCACTGACATATGTGCCCATTGTATATGTTTTTCCACTTCCAGTTTGACCATACGCAAATAAAGTGGCGTTATATCCCTTAAGAACGTTTTCAACCATTGGAAATGCTGCTTTCTTGTAAACACATTCCTGAGAATCTGTTTCTTTGAAAATAAAGTCGAAGCCAAAGAGTTTATCGTTTCCAATTATTAGCTGGTTTTCTTCAAGAGGATATGATAGGCATGTACAGCAGCCATCGTTAACTTCATTTTCTGAGAGTGGTCGGACACGAACTCCAACTTTCACGCTTACGTCCATTTATCAGCTAACAATCACAGACGGCTAAGGTATATTAATCTGTAGTTCTATTAAATGAGGCTGTAAAATAATAAAAGAAGTTAGCAGATAACAGCACTGAAGTGCATGGTATGCATGGAGATTGTAGTTAGTCCTGAAAGAATCCACTGAGATTAGTAAGTACTGTGGGCAGGTATCTGGATATCAATGGTGTGACAGAACACTACTCACTTATTGGTCGGAATTTCTAGTGTCATACTCTCCACAGCCACACAGACTTACGCTTTAGAAATATAACTAAAGCCAGCTGCGCTAACATTCTTGTCGACACAGACTTCATCAGAGCCAGGAAAGAGTGGTAAGATCACACAATTACGTTGTAAGTTTTGAAAAACAAAGAGCTTGTAAGCCTTCCTAAGGGGAAACTGTCGGTACTCAGTCGGAGAATATCTATTATGAGCACTGGTAAAAATGAGGGTAGCACAGTTCACAGGTGTGATTTGCTTTTTGGAAACTTGGGAAAAATAATCAGACATGACCATTCGACATCTCATTCTATTCACCACTTTTTTAAGTCATCCGATTAAAACCTCTCACCTTACTCGCGTTTTCTCCACTTTACCCATATACACCCTCCGACTGGGTAGATACTTGAACAATGGTCACCAAGGATGTGGAAAGAGATTTTACATAAGTCCTCAGGTCAATGATTTCGAATCTTATATGCAAATCTACGCGAAATAATGCATGAATTACAGTCAATCAGGACGGTGGGGGGTAATTAAGTTTACAGGCAGTTTACAACAAATTACCCAACCAGGGCCTAACCAGCCAACTAACCCTCGCGGCAAAACGTTTAAAAAGTGGTCACCCCATGACAAAACAAAAAGTCAAGACAATGCTAATTCATGGTTCACTACTTCGTAATTCAAGCACTCGAAAGGAAAAGCGAAAACTGACCGGTATATATTGATTTTTGACCTAGAGGTGACCTCTTTATTACTTTTGAGATATTTTACAAACATATAGCCTATTGAAAATGGAAATGTGACCTGGTGTGGTTCTTTTGTTAGAAGTTAAAAACAAAATTCTCTCCTGTCAGAACGCTTTTTGTTTGTTGTTCGAAAAAATGGCTCCTTATCGACTGTGATGCATTTTCCGACGTGGTTAACTTGAAATACACATGTGTTTGCCAATGGTTATAAGGAAGACGATAGCTGATCATTCTATGTGGAAAGTGATATAGACAGGTGCTATCAATCCAGTCGCACGTAATGTCAACCGCAAGGTTCCCGAAAGTGCCAGCTAAATCCCTGACTCTGACAGCAAACAACCCTCAAACTTCTAAGGTAGGCTAGAAAATTACTCACACACATGGCTGCAAGGTTTAGGCTTTGCCAGAAGATTGTCCGTTGACAAGATAATAATGGCGGATACTGAATTTGACTGTGCGCTTCGGTTGAGGGTTATTCGGTCGTCAAACAGTCGATGTGCTACACCGTTACTCACAGTGTCCAAGAAAATTCAGACTGACTGGCGCTTTTCTGGCGATTGCAGAGACCTGAGCAGGCATGTCGCCCCGGACAGATGCACAATACCACACACTCAGGACTGTAATAACAGTCTTCGAGGTGCCACGACGTATATTATCACCGGTTTTTTTAGCGCTAATCACAATATTCCGGCGACTAAGGAAGATAAACCTACAATAGCTATCGCCGACACATACAGTTTGTTAGAGTCTGTGAGGATTTCATTTGGTCTCCTGAATCCTGAGCAAACGTTCCGCATATTTTGCCAAACCTACAAGCAAACATGCAGAAGTGGGTGAGAGAGTGCATGGCATACCAGATGGCTGTAACAAGCAGACAAACAATGTGATCTTTAGAAACATTCTTTCATCCGACTACTCGTTTCGCTTATGTTCACGTAGACTGAGTAGGTCCCCTGTCGTACCCAAATGGTTTCACTTTCTTATTTACATGCATTGATAGGTTCACCAGGTTCCATATGGCTAAATGCCTTACTCGTATTACAGCGTTAAAGACTGCGAGAGCGTTTCTTCAACAATGAGTATCCAAGTTCGGTGTACCTATAACAATAACAACTGGTAGAGGTGCTAAGTTTGAGTCAAAGCCTTTCAACAACATGTCGAAGTTCTTCGGGCCTAGCGAAATCCCCTGCACAGCACATCACCCTCAAGCTAACGGTATGAAGGAATGTATCATCAACAATTGAAGGGGTTAATTGACATTTTACTCTACCCTACTCGCTGGAAATAATTCCTACCAATGGATGATGCTTGGTATTCAGACTTCAATGACGAATGGTGGCCAATATTCTGCCACCGAAATCGTGTTTCAATGCACACTGAGACTACCCGTGGAGTTTATCAATTCTAGTGCTCATAAGAACGACCTAGACCACGCTACAAATGTTGAGAGACTTCGGCTAAAATTCCCACTGTAAGGCTGGTTACTTCCCGAAAACAATCAAACAGAGGTATATATATTGAAGGATGTCAATGTAGTTGAAGATTGAACGATCAATTCATGGTTGTTTGCTCAAAACCAACTTCCACAATTTTCGCGGAGGCATCAATACGACAGTCATCGTCTCATCGGTCGCTGTTCAGAAAGAAGTCAGCAGAAAACCGTCAGAAGTAATATTGTGATTTATTATTGTAATATTTGTTCACAGACCTTAGTTCAAATATTGTTTTTATATGTTGGTGTAACAATAAAGAATCCTCGAGTCAACAATTGGTGTTTTGGTTTTTTCGTCCGTTATTACTAAGCGTTTCTGAGAAGCTTCAAGCGACAGCGTGAGCCCGAGCGTAGCAAGAGCTGGGCATTAACGGTTTACGAGACGTGGCTGACAAAGGACTTGGATTCTTGCCCTTATGTGTGGGTGAGGCGTGATAAAAACATAACCAGCCTTCAGTCCATCACATGAAGGAACCACCCAGACTCATGGCAAAATGTTCAAAGCTGTTTTTATTCAACGAGGTAATATCACTGACAATACTTGAATGAACAGACTATATACAGGCCATATATTAAAACGATCCACTTTACTTCGTGACAGAAAATCTTGCATAAACGTTTGTTTGCCATTTGAGATGCTGTCACGAAAACTACTAAGACTGACGGAAGAGTTAAGTGGGGGTGAATCCTTAACCCACATAAGATTTCTAGAAAAACTGCAGAACGAATAGCTGGTAGCCTAAATACAACTGAGTGCGTGAATTCTCTCGGCTCTGATAAAAACACACCTGCTATCACTTTCTCCAGAAAGTGGCAGGTAAAAAAATATGCATAGAGCAAGCATTTAATCTCTAAAAGGAGAGGCAAAATGAAGATTTTTACCTCGTTTTGAAAATTTGTTATGATGAGTTACATTATTGCTCACCTTTAATTTTAAAAAAAGGAAACCGTATTTCCTCATGAATAAAGCAGCATATAACCCAAATAGAAGACTTTGAAGAAATATAGAACTAATTCTGAACGGCTTGGTGAGCCATTCTGTCTCATAAGCAAACCAAATCCCAGTAAGTATAGATGAGATTCGCCCGTTTTCTGTTAATAACCGAGTCTTTATTAGGGTATGCCTCCGAAATAAAATACCAAGAAAAATGCAACAACTCGAAAACCGGTGTCAATAAAACTAGCTCCTTGGAGTGCGAGATTACAGAATAGCTTTTCAGGTGCCAACTTCTTAGAACGTCGCCTGTAGATACATATAGAATTTGCTTTCTTGCTGTGGGAGTTAAAACACTCCTTGGGGTGTGGTGAAATTACTGGCTTGTTTAACTAGTGTCTTTCTTTTTCTTATCTTAGAATTCCCCAGAGGCATTTGAGTAAGTACCTGTTCGCCAGTCAGAGCCGGTCAAAATCCTAACTCATTGACATGGTGTTGGGTGAACCACTCAAAGTAGTTCCTCACTTTTGAACTGTTGCGCTACAGGTTTTCAGTCTCTGCGTGAATCATCTTTCCTTAATATTTTGGAAATTAACCGCTTTCCTCACATTATCTAGATATCCACAGTCAACAAGGATTGTATTGTGTCAACTGGAACAACATATAGCATTCACCCGTGAAACCTACAACATGAATCTTTGGATGCCCTCTCTAAACACGTGGAACTCAGGATTTTATCCCCAGCAAGCACTATAAAGGAAAGTCTGACTTTTTATTTTGCAATATATATCTGTTTATCGTTGTTGTTTTGATACTTCGATAACACAGCTATCTTTTATATATCCCCACGATTTTTTCCAGAAATTGTGGAATTTCTTGTTTCTGTAATGGTTCAAGTCTATCAAATGTGTAGGTGCCGTTAAGAGACTGAGATCTTATACTAGTCAACCATCTGAAGACCTCAGCTCCGTTGGCGATTCTACACTTTTTACACCAGCCTCATCCAGAGTTATGCTATCTGATATCATGGAGGAACTGACAGAGAATGCGGCTTGTAGCAAAAATGATTTACTGACACTTCAGAAGTCAATAGCGGAACTGCAGAGCAAGTTTGACAGCATTGTGCCTCTCACGTAACTGTGTGACATATCACAAAACATCTGTCTTGAATCACTAATCAAATCCGAGAGCATAATTGGCTATTTGGCTGAAGAAGCTGTTAAGAGGGTTATGTCTTCACATAACGTCTTGGCCTATGACATTCCCGACGTAGAGCCGATCGCCAAACTTAAGATTTCGTGTCTAAAAGCTTGTAATATGTCGTTGACAGAATGTCAGGTTTTGCTTCTTCGTAAAAAAATACGAACCACCCGTGTCCGTTGCTTTTCAAGTTTAGGTCTACTGAAGAAGCCAGGAATTTTCTGAAATCGTGTAAGACAATAGGCTCTTCAACACCATACGCTAACATTAGTGTTACACCTGATTTAACACCATGCCAAAGACGATGCCGCTCAGGAACACTGAACTCTGATAACTCTAATAGGACAACTGTAGATGATGTTCCATGCGATATTCCGTCTAGTGAAATACCTGATCACGCCATGGAACAGACATTTTCGCGGGCAATGGCTGATGTTATCCAAGCATTATGTAACGATACTGACGCTGACATTGAAATGGTGGACATAGATGAGTCAACGAGAAATAATGTTGAAATACATCTTTTTCACACTGACGCAAAAGTCAAGACTAAGAAACGATCAAAACTCATCCCACCGGTGTTCCAACCATCCCCTTATAGGTCAGTTACTCCTCAGTCTGACAATCCACACTCTGTGAAGCACCAGTCAAATGTGGCTATCCAAGTTGGCAAGTTTTCTAGGCGTTATGACAAGGGCGTTGATAAGGCATATCCCCTATTTGAAGTGGCTCCACTTGGCTTGACCTTGACGGCATTTGCGCGGTTTCGTTGGTTCGAGTTGGAGCTAGTTGTTCAGGCAAACGCAGTGAACACGATTTCGGGCTTATTTTGCTCTTGTTGGATGAATTTGCATCAAAATTGTTATTCGATATTGTTCTTGAGCATTAACTGATTGCTTGTGTGACAGGACGCTTAAATACGTGGTTCATGCGATGATCATTTGGCATACCGAGTAATCTTTACGTGCATTCTGACGACCGTCATTCGATAAATTTCTTTGCAGCTTGGCGGAAACCTGTACTCGATCATAAATTTCCCTATCAGCTATTGTGCAGTACCTATTACTGTTACAGGAACGGAAGAATATGGGTGTCAATGGAGTTGAAGATTGAACGATCAATTCTTGGTTGTTTGCTCAAAATCAACTTCCTCGATTTTCGCGGAGGCATCAATACGACAGTCATCGTCTCATCGGTCGCTGTTCAGAAAGAAGAGTTAAATATCGTCAGAAGTAACATAACGATTTATTAT